AGCAGTGTTTCTTCGATTGACTTTCTGAAATATTTCAAGGACTAGATTCATCCCACTCACAGGTTTCATCATGTTTTCTTCTATCTCTTTAATCTCATCATCGCTGAAGTTCATGTGTCTCCCAAAAGCAAATGCTTGGCTCGTTGTAAAGTTTTTCGTTCCGTCAGATAAAAAATTTATAACCTTTGAGAGATCTAAATAAAAACAAAAACCAATGTCTTGACACACACATTTCACATTATAAGTATATACTTACCAACTATTGTTTTTCTTTCCTCACCACGTAGCATTGGTACAGCAAAATTAAGGTCTAATTTTCTGAGTTGATTAGCCAACTCCTCATGTGCATCATCAAGTGACATAGGATACTTGTCTCTCCATTTTCCAACAATCTCCATGGCATACAAGCTTGATGGGTGACTAGTCACACTATCAACTCTTGAGCTTAGAAGACTTTCTCTTGGTAGGTCAAGGAGGACACCCAAAGCATAGGCATCACCAGCTGTGATCCCACAATCAATGAAAACTGCTAGGAGATGATTGGGGGACAGATCTGGCAGTTCTTTTTTAAATAGATGATTTATTATCAATTTTTTAACTGACAGCTTACTTGCTCTTGCTGGTCCAAATGGTACCCCAATTAAACTAGCCATTGGGCTGGGGACATTAACTGGTTTCACTGTCACTTGCAGAGTCACATTCTCATAGTCATGAGCAACTGCTTCATCATTGACTATTATTTCACATGAATCCCCTGCTTGTGCTGCCATTATCAAGCCTCTTGATAGTAAAAGAGATGCTTTTCAAAAAGGAAGCATTAATTAACATGTCTAATAGGTAGTGAGCTATAAATATCCTTCACTCCTCTACATTCTTGTTCTTTGTAAATTACATAATCAAACATAAACATTTTGACAGTAAAGACTAAACACACTGACGCAATGCTGGCTTAGATATTTCATAAAAGCATAGGAAAATTATCATAAGCAAAATATAACTGCATACAATATAAGTGAATGAATAAATGACAAAAGTGATTGGAGTTAAAATTAGCAGATACAAAGCGTCTTTTTTTAGTTAGTTATTTTGAATCTTTGAGTGTTTTGTGGATAGCTTGGAGCAAGAGAAGTGAGCAATCTCGTGGCCTAAGAATACAAGGAGCCACATTGAGAGCAAGAGAGACCAAATGATCCACACAGAGGAAGGACCATTGATCAAGAGCACTCCCAGCGTTATCTACAGAAAAAAACAAAGTTAATTACCAGGACATGATAATTAAATTATTATTAATGAATTAATTTGATGAAATTTGGCCAATGACCCTGTACTGTAGTACAGTGTGTTTTGGCCTGATTTTTGAGCAACTTAAAAAAATCCTTAAAAAATCCGGAATGTGCTCAAACTTGCTACGCAACATAAAAACATATATATGCATCAGAAAAAAATTATAAAAATGGGGAATTCTTTCCTGGCCATTTTTGATGAAATTTGGCTCATGACCCTGTACTATAATACAGGGTCCTTGGCCAGATTTCAAGCAACTTTAACATTCACTGACAAGGCTGAGCACGATGTCAAAATCTTGTGGAAAACCCTGATATACATACATTATGCATTGGTGTAGACTAGGCAACCTACCTGCACGAATCCCAGCATTATTGAGATGAGACCACTGACTTGATGATATATCCTCCAACACTGTTTCCATTTGTACCTAAAGCTGTCAGCATTTTGAAATTGTCCCTTTGACTTCTTGCAATGCCATGGACGACTAAATGAAAATAAAGAGAAAAGAAAGTGATTATAAAGTAGGTGTTGCAGGGACACACGTGTCACTCACATAAATCCAGTGAGGAACTGTTGACTGATTGAGAACATCAATACAATACCAATCACGCCATGGGGGAACGATGGCTGGGAACTGACCATGAATACTAATACGAATCCAATGAAAGTGAAGAGTGTACCTAAAACCTATAAAGTTTTATAATAAGAGTTGTCACTTTGTTTCTTTCTCTCTCTCTCCTCACCTGGAGTACAACGTGAGCTACAAACCATTTCTTGCAGCTCCACTGATAGTAACGGCCCAATAGAGCACCAAACGGTAACATGAGACCCCAAGCAATGTACATGAAGATACCATGAAGATGTAGAAAAGTAAAATAAGTCGTTTGACAAGGTACAGTTGTCACATTGACCGACCTTCTCTCCAATAACCAAATGTCATTAAGATAATTACCGCTGGAGAATGAGTAGACTGAGATAAAAACTGTTTCATTGGATTACTGGGACTCACTTTTCATCAATTCCTCCAAACATGTAGACTCCATTAGCAGCTGGAGCCATCTGTGTAGCACTACGTAATGCAGGAACCCCTAGAGCAGCATCAACCTCTATCCTACTCCACTGCATCGAGGAAATGTTGAAAATAGACAGATAGGATGGATTCAACTTGCTACCAGATATGACCTAGAACAATGGTAATAATTGGTAATAATTAAATATTATTATTATTATTATTATTATTATTATTATTATTATTATTATTATTATACAAACAAATAAATGCAATACCATTATAAACAGTAAAAGGAGAGCCCTTTATTATTTATTATTATTATTATTTATTATGTCACTACCTGTGAGACTGCTCTAGGGCCAGCCTGACTCCCACCATACAGTATCCCCACGTCAGTCGACTGCGAATTGAGTGGTACAAATGAAGCCGAGTGAGATGGGGCGGAGCAGGATTTCAACTGAGACCACTTGTTGTCACTATAGACCCACGAGTCGTCTAGTGGGCAGGGACCACCAACTTGGCCACCACTAAAGAAAGGAAAGAAGATATGAATAAACATACCCCCCATGGCTGCAGCAGCCTCTAGCAAAACATTGTAACATGATCCCGTTAACAATGACATTCATAATTGTAGTGTCCTCTCTCTCTCTCTCTCTCTCTTACTTGGCACATCCTCCACTTATTATAAACTTGTTATTTCCTAGTGGTAATCCACTGGCTAGACTCCGGGCATGAGGCAGTGCTGGATTGTACTGATTGATACCAACACCTTCTGAGACTTTCTTCCAAACACCTACGTTAATAAATAAATAAATAAATACAATAAAATAAATATTAAATATGCTAGTAAAGCCTCTGTATGATGAATGAGACACAATACAATAAACTTTGTTGGGATATTTCTAATTCTTTAGGTGACAAGTTGCACAGTTACACAGCAGTAAATAAACAAGTATCGATATTGTACAGGGACACACTATATCTAACGTACATTATATGAGTGCTTGTGCATGTAAGTGTAACATTGCTGAGACTAGAACTAGCATTATAAGGATGCCTTAACTATCTGTGTCACGTTAAAAAAGAACTAAAGGCTATCATCAAGAATAAAAATCTACTTATATACTCAATAGTTGCAGGAGGTGGGGTCTGGTTTTGAAACCTAATCCAACACATAGCCCCACACTGAGAGCTGAGGTGTGTGGAAGGTTTTTAGTTTAGACTCTCAGTGTGTCTCTTGGGACCTCACAGACATTTATAATAAAAAACATACAAAGTATACAACACTAACAAAACAAACATCCATTAATACTTTAACAAAAACCACCAAATTTAGTCTTATGGTGAGCTCTATAAAACTATTGTACTACATGGAGTTACATACAAACCTACTGTAGTTTTTAGGTAACATATTCACATACACACACACAATCTCAATAATTAGAGCTACATTGTACCTTCCAATGGTGAAGAGGAATTTATAGTCAATGTCCAAGTGTCACTCATCTTCCTACCGACTCCATTGACTCCCATACTCATCCATAACTGACTCCCAGACCCTCCAATCCCACCAGCTCCAAAGTATCTACCGGTTGGAGTCTCTCCGCTAATGTTCACTCTGCTCCAGGACTTTGATGGAAAGTGAAAAGCCCAAGTGTCATCGAATACACCGTCACTTTCAGAATAGCCTGCAAACAAATGCAAAACATTATACATACACAGAATAATAACAAGAGTATTTACTCTAGATAATAATAATAATGATGATAATAATATTATTAGCAATAATAATAACTAAGGATTATCTTACCGTGTGTTATGTACCAGTAGTTTCCTATCCGTCCTGAAACAAAGCCATACCTAGCACTGGGTTTAATCTGAAGTGATGACAAGGGAGTCCATCTTTGCATGAAGAACGAGTAATACCAAGTGTCACCTATCATTAAGAAAACATGATGAATTTTAACTATTGTTCCCTGGTGCAGGACGTTTAGTTAATGTATGCACGCTGTTGTCTTTTGCTTACTTAGTGCTCCTGTTTCTGCTTTCCCTCCAAAGAGGTAGAGGTCTGTTGCATTCCAAGCCAGACCAGCATAAGCTCTTCCTGGTGGTTTGATAGTGCTGCTGCTATCTGGGACTACCTCGCTCCAGTAGAATGCTTTACAGCTCGCAGCAAGAAAGAGTATGAAGAAGAAGGAAAGAGGAAGCGAATGCATCTTGTGATTGTTGGGAAATTGCCGCCTATAGTATAAAGAAGTAAAAAGACAAACAGCAGACATGTTTTATAAACAGTTGCAAAGACGGTGACACGCCCATATTCATAAACTACCGTATTATATAAATAGTGAGCACAGAACAAAGTAATATTAAATTTTAAATGGCTGCACGTTGAGAAGGCACCTGTGTCACTTCCAAGATGACTAGCACTAAGGCTGAGGTCATGTCTGATAAAGCTGTAAGGAAAAGAGAGAAAATATCATTAAACTCTTCCTTCTGCCCTTCTCTTCCTCTCCTCCTCTAGAAACAAGATATCATGCAACTCCAAGAGATCTTTGGCATCACATCAACTGAGGCTGAGAACTCGTACCAGTACTACAAGAACAGCCTCAGTGATGCTGTGGTAGGACTGTCTAGCCTACAGGAGAACGGAAGAGTCTCATTGGAAGAGGCTATAGCCAAGAGTCCTCATTCTTCTGAAAGTACTAGTGGTACGCTTGTTTAGAAAATAACCAATCATTTAGGCCTGGTTTACACAACTGCGTTTTAAATTATAGCGGATATATTTTTATAGTCAGATAAGGGTCTCGTTTACACTAAAACACAAGAAAATGCATATCAAATCAAAACAAAAGAAAAACGAATACCAAAACGGATACTTCTATAAACAAATGATAAATTCTAATAAAAACGCAGCTGCTGGATTAGTGTAAACACCTGAAAATAGTCATAGCAAAAACGACCGGCATAGTCAAATGAGGTGTTAAAATGTAGTACGCTATGCTTAAAATAAATCATTAGTCTCTCTAGGGTCGTATGTGATTTTTGTATATACATGTAGCTTAGTATAGTATTCATGCAGCTATCCTTATTATATATTACTATATATAGTGTCCTTTCTTTTTTTCTTTTTTTTATAAGGTGATACGTCACAAGGTCTGGTCGCAACGTGTGCTAATAATCCAATGGCAGCACCTGCCGGAGGAGGAGGAGGAATGGCTGATTCTGATCAACCCACTGGCTCTACTAATACCAGTAATTATTAATAATCTTTATCACTGTAGTCTGAGCATACTGAATGCATACGTATTATGTTTTATGTTTTTTTCTTTCTCTTTCTTTCTTTTACTCTTTCTTCATTAGATCCAATTGATCTCACTCAGGAGTCACAAGATGATGATTTACAGAAAGCCCTTGCTCTTAGTTTACAAGACATGCAGCATCAAGGTGGAGGGATCTCACTTGAAGACCAAGAGCTGAGCAAGTAAGAGAAAGAAAGAAAGAGAGAGAGAGTGAAAATCAAAAAAGAGCTTCAATATTATTTATGTGTATAATGTACAGTACAGTACAAAAAAGGCCAAGTAGCTACTGCCCGGTTACTCTTACTTTTGCGTAGGTAGTTCGTTGCTAGGGACTTATTTGTGCATGCGCAAATCCACCAGTAGTAGTAACACACGTGGTCAGTAGCTTAACTATAGAATGGAGGGAAGACAGTCCTAAACGGGTTTCTAAAAGCAGAGAGCAGCAGTAGAGATGAACTTGGAGAGCACAGCCAGCCAAGAGAAGCATCCTCAAGTTCTTTGAGGGTCTCTAGAGCAAGTGAGCACTTGCTGCTACAGAACATGTGACTGGGCGGTATCGCAGTACTTCCTGGGCGTAACGCAACAAAGAGTAATAAAGAGTAGTGAAGTAAAATAACTACCTACGAACTACTTACAAAGTTTTCTCATCTACTTTGTGCTACTTACATGTAGCTTTTTGTATATTTATTATTATTGTTGTTGTTGTTGTTGTTGTTGTTGTTGTTGTTATTATTATTATTGTAGAGCTCTTGAGGCCAGTATTGCGGACACTCATACCGAGTATGGTCCTGTCTCAAGGTTTGTTGATCCGCTTAATCCTCACGAGAGGAAGAAGATAGAAGGGTTTCCTCTTGGACTCAAAAATATCGGAAATACATGTTGGTTCTCTGCCGTCATACAGGTACTACATGTATAAATGTACTTGTCAATTTTATGTAGCAATAGATCCCTAATACTTTTAATTATTTTTGTTTTATTATTTAGTCATTATTCAATATTCCTGCCTTCAGAGATTCGATACTTCATTTTAATTTTAAAACATCAGATCAAACTGAAGAGGACGTAAGAGCTTAGAAATTAATAAACTAAAGTTGCCCTTTACTCTCTCCTCTCTTTCCCATTCTCTTTCATTATATAGTTACCTCATTGTGTTTTATTTGTTTTGGAACTGCAAAAACTCTTTGCTCTTTTATTAGAAAGTCACCAGAGATACATTGATCCTAAACAGGCCATTGATGTAATGTTCTTAAATAATTTTTAGAGTACACTTATCCTTCTCTCTTTATTCCTTTGTAGCTTCTTAACGCTTCATTCCAGACACTTGGTGGCAATCATATGCAGCAAGATGTGAGTGAATTTAAGCACAAGCTCTTGGAATGGATCGAAGACGCATTTAACTATCAAGACAAAACAAAGTAATTAAGTCAGGGTTTTCCCACAGGATTTTGGCGTGCATGTATGTAGCTTCCTGTCAGCAAAGTTTAAAAGTTGCTTTAAAATTTGATCAAAGACCGTGGGCTATGGTATTTCGTCAAAAATGGCTAGGAGAGAATTCTTCATTTTTATAATTTTTTCTGATGCATATACATGTTCTAATGTTGCGTAGAAAGTTTGAGCTGATTCCGATCAAAATTAATTTTTTTATAAAATTTTAAAGATCTGACCATCATTTTTTCCTTACTAAAAGATGCCACTAAGAATTTTTGTGTGCTCATCCCAGCCATTGGTGTAATAATTAAACAATAAAATCCTTGTTACATTAATCTCTCTTTCTCTTTCTTCTAAAGGAACAATCCTATTATCGAGTTGTTTACTGGTGAATGTGTCACTGAAGGAAAAATCAACGAAACTTCCTTTGTCAATCGTTCTCAGTTTGGAGCGTTTCCTGTTCAGATTGAAGGCCACGCCCACCTACACGACAGCCTGGAGGCTGCCACTGTGAACACTGAGATGGAGCAAGAAGTGAGATATTGTCTCTCAGTTACATTGTACATGCTATTCTTTAAATTGTTATTATTTTTTTATAGACGTGGTTTACTCATCTGCCTCCAGTGCTAGTCCTGGAGCTCTCGAGATTCAAGTATAATCAACTAACTGGTCAAGCAGAGAAGATTCACGATTCACTCTCCTTTGATAAAACACTCTATCTTGACAGGTAACCACAAAATAACTAGAGCATTCATATTCTTAAATTATTTCATCTTTCTTGTCCACTCCTTATCTTTCGCTGTCTCTATAGATATCTTCACAGTAATGCAAGTCAGACTAGACTCCTTAGGAAAGAGATGGGCCTTCTCAGACAAAAAATGAGAAAAATAGAAGAGACACTAAAGAGGTGTGTATCAGTTCTTCTTTTCTCTTGTGTTTCTACACCTTTATATATTCCCCTTCACTCTCTCTCTCTCTCTCCTTCCTTCAGTTATACTGATTATAATGGAAAGAAAGTTCCCATTAATGATGTCCTTTCTATTGTGTTTGATTTTACCAGTTCGAGACTAGAGGGTGTCCTCGGAGCCGAAGGAGCCTCCCCTAATGTTCAAGAGGAAGGAAGACCCTCTCCAAGATCAGGGAGCAAGGAGGAGGTGGAGTTTGTAAGGAAGTGGCTCGAGCAATGGAGATCTGAGATGGACACTGAAATATCTGGTAAGAGAAGAGATTAAGATGAGACTAGATTGTATTGGGCATTTTAAATTAAAATGCCAAAACTCAAGAATAGGATTTGATTTTCCAGAGCCTTTGTAGCAAATGCTACATGGACTCGGTCAATATTTAATACTGGTATTTGTTAATAATTGGTTTATTTTCACTGGTATTTATTGTGATAGTGTTTATTGGTTGGTTTCATCAAAGGCTTTACTTTTGCTTTGCATTCCTTCTGTCTTCCTAACCCTCTCCCTCCCTCTCTCTCTCTCTCTCCCTCTCTCTCTCTCTCTCTCCCTCTCCCTTTCTCTCTCTCTCTCCCTCTCCCTCTCTCTCTCTCCAGAGCTTAAGAGCAGTCTCTCTGCCACCAGGGAGTCACTTGATGCAGTTTATTCCGATCCATCAATGAACAGGACCTCCTATCACCTCCACTCTGTCCTTGTCCATCAAGGACAAGCATCACGGGGGCACTACTGGGCGTACGTGAGGAAAAAGAAAACAAAGAAGAGGAAGGCCACGAGAGAAATGGGCATACAAGCATCTTATCTTGACGACGAGCAGACAGAAGAAGAAGGAGTGGATAAGAGTAGCAGTGAGGAAAAGAGAGAGGAGGGAGAGGGTCACGAAGACATGGAAGTGACTACAACCGGTGGGGATACTGACGTAGAAACGTTTAGCTCACCTTTATCGTCTTGCGAGCCGTCATCAGGCCCGGCGTCTGTAGCACCTCCTGAAGTAAAGAGAGAGGAGGGATCAAAAGAGGATGAAGAGGAGATATGGCTCAAGTATAACGATGTGAGTGTTACTACTGTTGACTGGGAGGAGGTGAAGAGAGAGTCTTTTGGAGGAAGAGGAGGAGAGAGTGCTTGCAATTCTAACGGGCCCGGGACTAACACCAGTGCTTACTGTCTGCTCTATGTGAACTCAGAAGCTGCCAAGACTTGGAGAGAAGAAGGTACTATGGACCATATGATAGATGATACAAACCTGCATGCATTTTGTATCAAGCATGGGTTGCTTTGATTTTTATTTTTTAAATTTTAGTTCATCTCCTCTCGCTGGGTCTCCAGAGGTACATTGCATATCATAATTTGGCGTTTGAGAGGGAGCTTAAAGCTTATGATCTCAAGGTCCAGCTCCAGCAATTAAAGACTTCATCGGAAGGGAAGGAGCTCATTAAACCGGCTAAAGCTGTTCGGTTTGAGTATCCTAAAGGAGAGGAAGATCCAGGAGCATCAACCAATGGAGGACATGACATGATGGCTCTTGCTTCTGATGCTAAGAGAGCTAGAGCAGGCAGCCCCTCCAATTTAGAAGATATGCAAGTAATTTTTTCCTCCTCTCTTTCTCTCTCTCTTTGTTTGTACATAATGTCACTTCCACAATTTGTTCTCTCACTCTCACATTCATTCTCTCTCTCTCTCTCTCTCTCTCTCTCTCTCTCTCTCTCTCTCTCTCTCTCTCTCTCTCTCTCTCTCTCTCTCTCTCTCTCCCCCCCCCCAGATTGATTTGGATAACCTACCTCCAGTTGATCCAGCACTCTTGAATCAACTCTCAATGCGTTTGAGTGACAAGCTCCAAATGTTCATTCAGGATGTACCAGGGACCATCATAGAGTCACGCTTACTCACTGACTTCCATTATGCTCATGCCTGCCAGACCAGTGAAAAAGTTAGACAGGCTATACTATATGAGCATGTCATACAAGATCTGAAGAGAGAGAATGAGTGAGTCTCTTTGAGAAAAAGCTAGACTGTAGATCTAATGCATATAGGGTATAAAAATAGCTTTATCTTGTGTGTTTGTGTAACATTTTTATCATCTCAATTTCTTTTCTCTCTCTCTCTCTTCACTCATCTTCTCTACAGTCTCAATATGTCTCTAATAGCTCGTAAGTATTTTGTGGAGATATGCAAAGACCCTCAGATATATCAAGAACTACAAGTGAGGGAGAGAGTGTATCTACATCCACTGTTAGTTACCATAATGTGTGTCTCTCTCTGTGTGTACAGGATGTAAGATTATTGTACAGTCGGTTTTGTTCCTGCTGTTATCATTTTATCCAGTCAGTAAACGAAGCAAAAAGGAACAGGTATATAATTATAATAATAAGAAATGGTATTTTAATATATCTCCCCTTATCTCCAGTTGGTGTCTGTCACTGGCTCACATTATAAATTGTTTTTATTTAAATTCTTCAATCAGTGCACAAGCTGGTGACAAATATTCGCTAGATCAACAGCTGTTAGGTAGATTCAGGTGTAAGGCACTCCTTGTAAGTATAATTCCTTTGTTCCTTCTTAGTATAATATACTTATATGTAATTGACTCCAAATGCCTCAAATCTTTATTATGGTGTTGTGAATGTGATAAATACATGTAAGTAATATGAAGTTTGAGCCAATTCCAGATCATTACTATTACCAAGAGTACATAATATAAAGAGAGTATCGAACGGCCCTATAGAAGACTGCTGCATGAGGGCGTATTTGCTCAAAGTCACAATCCGCATACTCCAGTATACTTACCATACCACGTGATCAACCATGTGGCAACATTATCTGGCCCTTAGCTTTTAAAAACTTGGACTTTAGGTATTATGTACTCTTGCTATTACACACCTGTGTATTAAAGATTATAACTATATAACTAAACTATGATTGTTTTGATCTTGACTATCTTTATTGTTCTATTATAGATGGTAAGTGAAATAGGCACAGTTGCATTTACCAGTGGTGAAGTCTCCTCCAGTATAGTCATTGGCAATGATTACATTGTCCCTGGGCTCAAGGCCTTCTCTCTCCATCCATTCCCTGGAGATGACTCCATTTTAGAGAAAGTGAGAGAGGAGTGGTGCCAGTGCTTAGATCAGAGCTCACTAACTGAAGGTACTACCTAAGGGAATGTCGTTAAAATTAGGACATCATTACCCATTGCTATATCTATTACTTTATGAACTTTATGTTCTCTTTTCTTTCTATAATTATTTAGATGATTCCGACAAGCTAGCAGATTTGCTAATGAAGATAGTCGAGGACTATTCAAAGGCTCCGAACATCAAGATACCTCAGGCCCCATCGAACTTTGACACCCAGAGACTCGCTGCACAATATACCACTGCCTACAAGACACTGACTAGCGAAATTTTATTGTGAATAGAATATCAATGAGTTATAATGAAGAGAGGTGTATTTTTTTTAATTGTTGCAAGTTACCTCTCTCTCCAGCTGTGATTTTTGTATACTTTTAAGCACAGCTATAGTCTTGTATAGTAAAATGAAAGGATACATTGTACACTGTAGTAATAAAAGGTGGAGTGGTTTTTTTTTCACGTGTCCAGCACGAGCTTGAGGTTGTATATTGATATTCATTGAATGCCGCAACACCCTCGGAATATGATTCTATCCACTAATTGAGGCTCGCCAAAAGGTGAATCTTTATTCCTTTACTTTGCCTCTCCTCTCTCGCAGTCTACTCTTGTCTCTTGGTAAGTGGATTGCAAGGAAGTAGCCCTAGCAACTGCTACAGACACTTATACTGTAGTACAAAGTCTTGCAGCAAAATTTAGTGTGTCTATTGTTTTTGGCTATCTCGTGTGTGGTCTGACCTGACTGACTGGTCCGCACGTGTAAACACCTACCAATCATGTCTGCTTCTCTTCTGTTTCTAGGCACTTTCTGCTCTTCTTTCCGTCGCCCCAGTGAGCTAAAGTCATGGCTGATATCTCAAAACTCAAGACCAGCATGGAGGGGATCGTCTTGCCCGACGCAGCCCCCAAATGCAAGTGGTCGCTTGACAAGAAGGACGCTTCGTGCCCTGTTCCACACACATTCAATCCTCCAAGGTAAGGAGGCCAGTATAATTATAAAGCAAGCCCAAGTATAATGATAATAATGCTTCTATATATTAAATGTGTATGTGTTTCTATGTGTTTCTTTATGTAGGAAGGCAGTCTCTCATTGCTCTGTTTTGCCCAGTGTCTTGGATGCATATGGACACACTCCGTTGATCCAGTTGAACAAAATTGCCAAAAGCGAAGGAATTGAATGTGAACTCCGTAAGTGCATCTAAAAGCATTGACTTCCATATATGGCATGAAATAACAATATTTGTTGAAATGCACACATAACTAATGGGACAGAACAAATACATTGTACCTACTACATTTGTAAATTTTCGGAACAAATACTCGCATTGTGCGTACTACATTTGTAAATTTTTGGATGAAACTGACTTTTTTGTTTGGCGTTCATTGTGTAGTTGCCAAGTGTGAGTTTATGAATCCTGGCGGCTCCATTAAGGACAGGATTGCTGTGAGGATGATAGAGGAGGCCGAGAGAAGTGGAGCAATAAAACCGGGAGACACTCTCATAGAACCAACCTCAGGGAACACTGGTGAGGAGACTATAGTTACTTATACACACACATTCATTTATACATACATACACAGGATTATTGTCATTGTTATTAATAGTGTCAAGTGGTCATGTGGGTATTGTGCTTGCTTGTTATACATTGTACACCTCTTTTCTGGTAAGTTGTCCCCTTCAAAAGCTAGTTTTGCATACTGCGCATGCGCAGATGCATTAAAATGAATGGACAACAACCGCGCATGCGCATTCAGATGGACAACAGACTTGAAAAGAGGTGTATGTTGATTAATGCCCACTGAAGCTTTTAATGTAATTTGTTAGCTCCATGTAGTGTGGATTGACTCTCACCTTATGTTCCATGCATGCCTATATATACTACTAATTGTTGGAGTATGGTTGTACTATTTGCTCCACTCTTAGGTATTGGTCTTGCTTTGGTGGCTGCTGTCAAAGGCTATCGTCTCATATTAGTAATGTTGGACAAGAACAGCCTCGAAAAGGTAATCCTCACTCACTTTATCCTATTCAAAACAGGTCCCTACTGGCTGGCCAGCAGAGACTTGCTAGCAAGGAGACGGTACCAATATTTATTATTATTTATTGCTATTATTATTGTTGTTATTGTTGTTATTACTATTTGTATTACATTATTGTTAATGATACATGACATAAGGGTTAGTTTTAAGCAAGCTGCACTCACTCTCTCTTTGTGGAGACTGGCTCTGTACTTTACATGCTTGTGCCCTTTCCCTTGCCCTCACAGGATGTAGTTCTCAAAGCTCTCGGCGCAGAGATTATTCGTGTACCAGCTGCACCTTTTGGCACTTCTGGTGAATTTTTGTTTTTTAGACATGCAACATAGAGAGCTGACCTTTGCTTCTGGCCAATAAAATGTCTTTATTGTGTCAGATGCAATGTATGTGGGCACTTTGTGTGTGTATGTGTGCATGTTTTTGTCTTTGTGTAGCCACCATAGCAGTGACTAGTGTTTACTTCTTGAATTATCTTGTTTTCAGATCACTACATAAGCATTGCCCACAGGCTTCAAAGAGAAATACCAAACTCTTTTATATTTGATCAAGTATGTATAATACATATATGTCGCACATAATCTTACTTTTGTATTGTGTGTATAGTATAAGAATCCTTGGAATGCCATTGCTCATTATGATACGACTGGAGAAGAGATACTGGAACAGACAGGAGGTATGACAGTGTCAATGTATATGTACGTGTGTATTTTAAATTGCATTAACGTTGTAAAGGTAATGTTGATATGGTTGTAATTGGTGCTGGCACCTGTGGTACACTGACTGGAGTTGCCAGGAAGATAAAAGAAAGACAACCGAATTGCAAAGTAAGGAATTTATAATACACTCACTGGTCATTAATGTTGATTTCTCTATTAGGTAGTTGCTGTTGATCCGTATGGTTCAATACTAGCCAGCCCGCCTGAATTAAATGATGGACCAATCAAGAGTTACCTGGTAAGTAACAGTGAACAATCTCAGCATCAATTCTGTGAGAGGTCAAGTTGTAAAGTAGTAGCCTAAATTATCTCTCACCTTAATACAGTAGCTGTTGCATTTGTGACTTTTCTGAAATTTGCCCAAAATTTTGATAGTAATCACCACATCCAATTTATTGTTTTGATAGCATGATGGTATGATAGTATATAGCCACTATAATTATGATATCCATTGTTTTTGTCTATTCCTCAAGGTTGAAGGTATTGGGAAGAAGTTCTTCCCAGCTGGTATGGACAGGACAATTACTGACAAGTGGTACAAGATGCACGATAAAGATGGATTCCTTTATGCCAGGAAACTCATAAACGATGAAGGATTGCTCTGTGGTAAGCAAGAATGAAGGGTACTTAATGAGAGAATGTTCTAATGTGTTTTATTATTAGGTGGCTCCAGTGGTAGTGCTTTGGCTGGTGCTATAAAAGCTATCAAAGACTTTAATTTTGGAAAGGGCCAACGTTGTGTTGTTATACTTCCTGACTCCATTAGAAACTATATGTAAGAGATAGAGTGAGGGAGGCAAAAGATATTTAATTGTTATTTCTCTCTTTAGGTCACGTTTTGTTAATGATGATTGGATGATTGATAAAGGATTTCTTGAACTTCCAGCTAAACTAACAACACAATGGTATGTATCAGTACATGATCCTCACTTAATCAAGCTATAGTATTGCTTTGTTTTGATACATATTGATGTCCTTATGCTGTGTAGAAAGTTTGAGCCAATTTTGACTTTCATTTTTAAAGTTACAGCCATTTTAAGAGAATGCAAAATTTTTTTAAAATACCCAAGGCAGCCCATGGTTTTTCTAAAAAATGGCTCCGAAATCACCCCAACTTTTTATTACATTTTCTGATACATATTGATGTACTTATGCTGTGTAGAAAGTTTGAGCTGATTCCAGCTTCAATTTTTGAAGTTACGGTCATTTTCTAAAATGAGCCAAAATCTGAAAAATACCCAAGGCTATAGCCCATGGTTTTTTTCTGAAAAATGGCTCCAAAATCACCCCAAATTTCATTACATTTTCTGATACATATTGATGTACTTATGCTGTGTAGAAAGTTTGAGTTGACTTGATTCTGAGCAACAATATTTGAGATATGAGCATTTTTAATAACTAGCTAACTCGCATAGACAATGCTTCATCACTCTTCAAAGGTGAGCAAGTGCTCACAGTTTAAGGAATAAGAACTACAGGGCATGATTCTTTTACTTGTTTCAGTTTAATTTGTGCTAAAGTAATCAAAATGACTCCTTCATTTCTTAATTCTTCAGGTGGTGGAATAAACCAGTGAGTGAGTTGGAATTCTCCACTCCCGCTAGCCTCAAGGCTGATATCACGTGTTCTGAGGCCATTAAACTCTTCAAGGACGAAGGCGTTGATTTTATTCCCGTCTTAGGAAAGTTTGGGTATGGCCTGGCCCTTAATCCCTTCAAATTAATTATGCTCCTTTTAGTGATCCAGTGGGTGTGGCTTCAGTTTCGGACATGACAAAGAAAATGAGCACTGCTCAAGTTGAGGGAACCGATCCTGTATCAAAAGTCATGCTGAAGAAATTTGAGATGGTAATAAGGACAATTAAAAAAATAATATTTATAATACTGCTTTATTGCATTAGTTTGAAATGACAGGAACATTGGGTCAGGTTTCACGTGCATTGAACAGAGATAATTATGCTCTAGTTTCTAAAGGTGAGCCCCAAACTAAACACAACTACCTCCTGTAGATTTTTCAAAACACAATGATTATAATTTTATGCTAATTTTAGCTCCTAGCGCTAGCAGTTCCCTGAAGCACAGTCAAGTGATAGGGGTCATCACTGGTACTGACTTTCTGAACTACATCTCGGCCCCACCTTCAATTCAAAATGGCCTTCACGAGTAAAGAATTGCCACTTAAAAGACCAGCAATTAAAAAAAATTAATAATGACTATCTTAATAACTGTATAATTTTATTTTTATTTTGATGTGCAACTTTAGTTTTGTTTTATTACTGTATTAATACATGGACACTTTGTATTGTCACCTTTTATTGTTAGCTGCTTAGTACCTTATAGCTGTCTGTAGAACAGTCAAAATTTTTTCATAATTAATCTCAAATTTTGACAAAAAAAAACATCTACTAAATCAGTTATACACGTTTTCTTGTGGCAATACTTTTTCACCATCTAGTTTTATGTTAAATGAGATACCCTGTATTTCATTATCGCCTGTACAATACGTAACAAAATTAAAACACAACAGCATGCACTTACTTTTGAGAACATAATATTTCCTGCAACATAGACAGACAATTATAGTCAAAATGATGACTATTCCCAGTAGTAGCAAGGCCACACAGGCCGTGATTATAACTAGGATTATAGCAGTGTACTTACCTGCAACCAACATGACACTGCACATCAACTATTAATGATAAAAGGATTACTTGGAATGCTTTTGCTGTATCCAGTGTGGTGTATGTCCACGTCTATAAATGAAAATAAACTAACCATCATTTCTTAATAGCTCAATGTGTCAATGCGTGAAGTCTAACTTACCAATTTGGACCTTTTCGCTTGTTGCAGTTCCAGCATCATTACTAACGATACACTGATACTCTCCTTTGTAATCCTCTGCAAGGGGAGAGATTGTTAGCTCAGAGTAGCTAGACTGAGTGTCTACTGTGACATAAGGATCATTGTCAGGCTCAAGCAATGAGTTATTATGTTCCCATGTCACGTTAACGGAGTCATCATAGGTACAATTGATGGTAATAGATTCGTCATTTTGATGAGTGATAATATTAACAGTTGGGAGGCCTGCAAGTGAATAATATAAAGTTAATTATTTATTAATTTAGTCAGCTTACTTATTACATTGACTCTAACACTAGTCTCACGAATGTCTCCATGCATATGGACACTCATTGATCGACACGTGTATTCACCACTTGATTCTCTGTCAATGTTAGTTAAGTATAAGTTCAAAGGAGGATTATTAACAACTATAGTCAATTGACTACCATCCCTGATCCATACATAACGTGGAGTACCAGCATTACCAGGATCAGAGCATGTTAGTGTTAGATTAGATCCTTCAATAACATTAACTGTCCCATTAGGAAATACAATTGGATTAAGGAAAGCTAAAAAAAACACAATGTTATAATATGAACTATATTATATAGGGCTGACATACAGTATGTTCCAAAGGTAACAATGTTTTGAAGACCAATATTTTTTGAGGAACAGACTACAACATCTCCAACATTCACAACAGCATCAGGAGTATGCAGAGTAAGGTAAACTGTATTAAAAGTGCTTGATATGCTGACATTTCCATCATAGTCACCATCATTAAGAACCATACTACCCAGCCACCAGACACCATCAGAGAAAGGAGCAAAGTTACCTTGATTATTGAAGAACCTGCAGATGATGCATATTGGCTCTGTCAAAGGTAAATGAATTTTCTGATCTCTAATGATCATAATGGAAGTACTGTCTGGAGGACATTGAGCCCAAGCTAGTCCTATAGCAATAATAATAATAGCTAATTGTATGTGAGGAGAATACCTAAAGATGATGAAAGAAAGAACAGCAGAAGGAGGGCAGATGCCATGCTTCTCTATAATTCTCACCCCCACCCCATTCCTGTGATTTTAGATTTTATTTAAGAAAGATTTATACATGCAGTGAACAGTGAACATGTGCAATCCTGTACTAATTGTTACTAGCTTAGCTACACACAACTTATACTGCTACAGAAAGATAAGTAAACTGATTATACATTCACTGAAAGAAGTTTAAATTTAAATGTTGACATAATCTTCCATATTTTCATAATCGTCTGGTGTGTCATCCTGCAAAGCCTCATGTATTGACTTATCAGCAGAAGCAGAGGGTTGATAAGCAGGGTTGCTCTGTGTGGGTTGATGGGTGGATCCAATAAGATTCATTTGACCTGGTTGAGGTACAGTTGTAGAAATGCAAGAAGCATTAGCTTGCATTCCTGTTACTCCTGTATCAGGTAACTCATCATGCATAACAGTAGTGGCTTGTGCACTACTTTTGACATATTCCTGCAAATCAACATTACTTTCTAAAAATAAAGTATTATGTAAAGGAATGACAATAATTCATGGACTGACCAATTACTTCCTTTTTCCTCTTAAAGCAGTAATAGCTGATACCAAAGGTTACTGTAGCTATCACTAGCACAGTACAAATTACATTAAATACCAGTACAATCATTCCCAATGATAATGAAACACCTAGATTTTGACCATTAATGTCAAATTAATGCCAAAACACATTATTTACTTTTGTTGGTACTTAAACCATCATCACTAGTCACAGTTGTGATTATATTACTTGGTTCACTTGCTCCTATAGCATTGATGGCATAAACTAATACAGAATAACTTGCTCCTTTGGAAAGATTGTGTATTGGGAGATTAGTATCAGTGGTATTGCGAGTGCTATGATAGTTCTGTCCATTTTCATAATATACCACTCTGTATGTATGGACTGGCTGTTGCGTCAACGGATCTCTGTTATCCTATAAAGGAACAATGGTTTATACACTGTTTTACATTGTGATGGCACCAAAATACAATTACAATGCCTATAAACCAGTGAAGTAGTGAAGCACAATTAAATTATGACCAAGACCCTTCACAATGGGATGTATACTTACACTCCAAGTAGCAAAAAGAAAGGTTGAGCTGAAGGCAAGCACACTGTTGAGAGTAGGAGCTGAAGGAGCTATGACACATGCAAATAAATGATGTCATTGTGGATATTATGCTTACAATTTGAAAGTGTTTTTGCAAATATAGTTTCTGTTGAGCTATTGCCAATGCCATTTGTAACAATAACACTAAAATTGTAACCAGTATAAGGTTGAAGACTTGATACTATTATTCCCATTACAGATGCTCCTGTAAAAGGTATCACTCCACTACCCTCTCCATTAAAGACAGCAACATAAGACAATATTCCTCCAGTCAAAGAAGAGTAGCCATCAAAACCTAACGACCAATTCAACCTAATGCTGGTATTTGTGATATCCGATTCAGGTGCTGCTAAGTTATACACTGGAGCAGGTCTAACTGAAAGAATAACAAATTTAGTATTTATAAATTTTACACTTTGATACACCTTTAAGTGCAAAACAAGGTGTAAAATAAGTATTTTTATTGTGAATGGCTACTTTGAATTATTAGATCCAGTAGTACTTTGCTATCATTGATAACACCATTAGATACAGCACAGGTGTACTCTCCACTGTCATTTAGCCACTGAAGAGGTGACAAAATAAGTTCAGAATATGTTGAATGAGTAATGATGCTGATATGTGGGGTATTGTTAGGGTTTAGCTCTGTTCCATTATGTGACCAAATCACTGAATCAATCATTGGACTAGAATAAAATGAGCATCTTACAGTATGGTTGCAATCAACTGGTGACCTTTTAGTGACTAGATCAGATGCTATGTCAAGGTCTATAATTAAATAATAAGATAATGAATGACATTGATTATTTCAAACTTACAAAATACATCAACCATTACAGTACTGTATCTGTATACTCCTGGCAAATCAGTAGTACTTAGTTGACAAGTATAGTTTCCATTATTGTTTCTAGTGATATTAGTAAGTTGTAGACTCAAAGGAGGACTATTAACTACAGGAGTCAATTGACTACCATCCCTGATCCATACATAACGTGGGGTACCAGCATTACCAGGATCAGAACATGTTAGTGTTAGATTAGATCCTTCAGCAACATTAACTGTCCCATTAGGAAATACAATAGGATTAAGGAAATCTAAAGATAATAAAATGAATCTCTTAATTTAAATATTAACCAACTTACCAAACGCTCCAATAGTAATAATGTTTTGCGAACCAGCTGATGATGAAGAACATGTTAAAGTATTACCAACATTAACAACAGCATCAGGATAATTTAGAGTGAGGGCTGTTGCATTAGAAGTGCTCGTTATACTAACATTACCACTCAAGCTGCCATTGTTTAGCATAGTACTGCCCTTTCTCCATACACCATCAGAGAATGAAATAAAATTTCCATACTCATTAAAAAATCTGCATTGAAGACATAATGGTACTGTTAATGGCACATAAATAGTTCTATCATTAAAAATGATAATTGAATTAACATTAGCAGGACATTGAGCAGAAATAAAACCTATATAAATTATGGCAATAAATAAATTAAAATAGCATCTTAGTTTTAAAAGCACTCACTTAAAGACAAAGTAATGAGACACAGCAACAACACAAGTGACATGTTCTTAATTCTTCGATGAGTTTCTCGCACATCAGCCCACACGCTCCATAATATACTTAGTCTACTACAGTCTGAACATAAATGTCAACCCACATATTGTATTATAAGTCTATTATAAACTGTCTACTTACAATTCAAGTTTTCATAACACTACACTTTCCATTTTCAAACTGAATAATATCCCACATTCAATAAAAAGTTTATTATACATTGATAGTATTTACAAATATTACTAATTGGCCACACTCTAAACAGTGAAAATAGAAATCCTACAAACTAGCTGTCTAATGCAACGCTTGTCTTTTTTGCTAAATTTTAATTTTTTTTATCAAATAAAGAAAGCATATCTATGCATGCAGGTTTGTTTTAGTCTAAATCTTTTCCCTCATTTTGCTGTTGCTTCTTTGGTTTCTTGAGTAGTCGATTCACAAGCTTCCCAAGCTATCCCCACTGGAGCTAAAGGTGATTTGCTCCCATCACCAGTATTATAAACTGACTCTTCTTTCATTGGTGTGACTAAATGGACATAAAACATACACAATCCTCAGTACTGATTGCTACTAACCTGCAACAGTCATAGTTGATCTCTTCTTATGGTAAAGGAAGCAAATGCTTAGTGTGACCACTACTGCTATTATTGAGCAAAATATGCTCGCACCAGCAACAACTGATCCAAACACAGCAGTTTTAGACAAAGCTATTGGAATTCAATCAATTATATTTACCAACAACTTATTGTCTTACCGCAAGCACTCCCTTGTACACTAATAGTTGGCGTATCTACAATTAAAAATAACATTTTATAATACTCTTTTATTAATACTTACTGGTACATGCATTAGGAGCATTAGTGACTTGAACAGTGTTAGTCAGAACTGAAGTAGAGTTGATGCTATTGGCAGAAGTTATAGTACAATTGTATAGTCCATTCTCCACTCTTAGCACAGCTATGCTAGTGATGGTAGCATCAGTGAGATTTATAGATATGCCACTGCTACAATGAACCCTTAGATGAATCAGATCCATTCCACCATCATGGAGATAACTCCATTGAATGATGAGTGTGTCATCACCAAGTATTGACAGGACTGACTGGTTTATGGAAGGAGCTACATTTAAATATAAATTGATCACTATGTAGTCTCAACATGCAATATCTAACCTGATGCAGCAGTTAAAAATGAGATACTCTCCGAAGGCTGACTCATGAAACTCAGCATATTACTCATTACGAACTGAGCAGTGACAGAGACAGTGTAATTGGTCACTGGTTTAAGACCAGTAATAGTATAGACTTCCATAGTCTCCCCAGAAGATGCTACAACAATAGTGATTGGATCATAGTTGCAGTCCTCAACCTTTGATAGCATAACTTGATACTGAGTTGATAGATTCCAGACAGCAGCCCAAGCAATGGTAGTCTCAGTGGAGCCGAGAGAGAGAACACTCAGTGAATGAGGAGGAGTAAGAGGATCTGTCATTACGCTCAGTCTCACTGGGTTACTAGTTCCAATGTCATTTACAGTAGTGATCGAGAATGAGTAGATGGTGGAGGGATGGAGATTTCGAATAACAGCCTCTGTTACCATATCACCCACGATAGTGATGGTTCCATTATAGCTACTGGAAGAATAATTGATAACAATTTCTGTAATGTTGGAATTTCCATCAAAACCCAGTGACCAGTACAAAGTGACTGAAGTGCTTGTAGTATTAGCCATTAGCCCCATCACAGGCTCAGGAGGAACTAAAAAAAGCAAATCATGAAAATGGGAATTATAAATTCATTTACCTTGAACAGCTACAATGACTTGATTGCTGTTGGTACTGCCAACTATGTTTTCCACTATGCACACATAACTGCCACTGTCATTCATTTGTACCAGGGACAGGGTCAGCTCGGAGGTTGTGGATTGAGTGTCGATCTGAGAATCAGCGTCGATAAGTAGGCTTCCATCTTTTTGCCACGTCACATTGAATGATGAAGGATTGCCTGTATACGTACAGTTAATGGTAACAGACTCATTAGTAGTTAAAGAAATACTACCATGAGAAACAGCAACTTCTGGAGGATCTGCATATGAAAAATTGACCTAATATGTAATGCATTTATGTATACAAGTCCTTACATTGGACATCAATGGTAACACTAGTATCCATTGTAACTCCTGGTAGTTCAGATGGCTTAGTTGAGCTACATGTGTACACTCCACTAGAGGACCTTTGAATCAGGTTCAACTGAAGATTTAAAGGAGGACTGGTGGTCTCAGAGGTGAGTGCATCACCAGTGCTGTTGAGCCACACGTAATTTGTTGTGCCTGTATTACCAGGATCAGAGCAGCTTAAAGTTAGATTACTTCCTTCAGTAACATAGGCAGTACCACTAGGAGATATTTCTGGGTTTAGAAAGTCTATAAGAAATATTTTTTAATGATGCAAAGTGTATGCATTTACTTACTGAAAGCTCCAATTGTTACAGTATTTTGACTACCAGCTTGAGTTGAGGAGCATACAAGTGTATCACCAACACTCACAACATCATCAGGATAATTGAGGGTAAGGTAAATGGTATCAGAGGTTGTTGATATGCTGACATTTCCATTGAAGTCGCCATCATTTAGAGTCAAAGTCCCACCTCTGCTCCACATGCCATCAGAGAAGGTAATCCGATCACCTTGATTGTTGAGGAACCTACAGCCTAGGCATGCAGGCTCTGTCAGTGGTACGTTGATGGTCCTGGGAGCAATGACAAAGATTGATGTTGTGTTTGCAGGGCATTGCCCTTCAGCAGCATCTGCAAAGGAATAACAATACTAATGTTTAGATCTATTGTTAGTATTGCTTACAAATGAAGAGCAAGAAGATTAAGTTCCAAAGTGTCATACAGCTCATTTTCTCTTCTCTCTTCTTCTCTTTCAACTTAAGGTGCTACAATGTACAATTATTTTTTGGTTTTTTATAACTATTAAACGCCCACAATTCATAATTAGACATAGATCATCTAGATCTAGCTCTTGCAATGTTTCTTCCTCATTATGACTATGATCATGGAAATAATCTTTCTGCTGACCAGGGAGACGTCTCTCCAACCCAAGATATAGGATTCATAATAGCACTCAATATATCAGTTGGTATCGTGTGTCTCCTGTCCATCCTCGGCTCAACCTCCATCATTTTCTCGTATATCTTATACAAAGAACTGAGGACAACGGGTCGCTTCATACTCCTAAATCTCTCAGTGGCTGATTTGATAGTGGCCCTAGCTAACCTATTGGGAGCAGCAATGTCCCCTCGGTTTCGTAACGTGAATGATCCTTCTGATATCAATGATAGCTCTTCTTTATTAGCTCTATCATGTAAAATTGATGCATTTTTTGGCCTGTTTGCCACTGATTCATCAATACTTTGGACTATAGTGCTCCTCTCTTATCTCTACATAACGCTTCATTGTTTTCGACCATCTCGTAGCTGTTTCAAGGTTTCAATGACTATCTGTATGATTATATGCTGGGGTCTGCCTCTAGCTATATCAGTTTGGTTCATAAGCAAGAACTTTTTTGGATTCCAGCCCGGGTTTTCACCTGGTTTTTGTACTTTCACTGGTGACAATGATGGTAAAGACATCTATCGGCCTATAGTTGGCTATGAGATGTTCCTGTACCCTTCAATAATTTTTCTCACGACTATTTCTATTGCTTTCTTTTGTCATGCAAAGTGCAAGGTAAGGCTGTGCATAATGACAGCATTGCTTGAGGAAGCTGTTGCTATTATACATTGTTTTATATTACAAAGCCACAATTCCACTGCCAGCCTGCAATGAGATGCATAATTAGCACTGTTTGCAGTTTGTAAGTAGTCACTTTATAGATAATCATTTATTAGAGTAATGAACAGCTGTTACATTATAGATTATTTCACTTGATAAAACCACTCCATGCATGCAGCACTACTAGATCAATTATGTATGATTATTATTGTATTCTCTTATAGAAGAAGCCAGTGGAGAACTATCACTATATTGAGCATCATTTGAACAGTATAAAGGCAGCAGAGAGAAAGCTACTATTTGTCCCAATAGTGTTCATATTCATTAGAATATGGGGACTTATCACTGACGTGACTACATTTTACCTTAATGACAATCAAATTGCAACCTTAAGAAATAGTAAAATAAGTCCTGCCTTAATCTTCATGGCGGTAAGAAATATTTAAGTATTTTTACACAACTGTAACCATAATTTTAATATCATTATTAGGGCATTGGTGATTCATCACAAGGCTTTGTTAATGGTATATTCTTCTGCTTGCTCACTCCACCAGTGAGGCAGCGTTTGCTCTTGTTGCTCTTCAAGTGTGGCCGTATTTGTCGATGCTACTGCTGTAGCCGTTACGAGACCCTTGTGAATGATGCCTATATCACACCAACTACATCTAGATCTCTAACTATCTCTTATACTAACTCCACAGCCTCAAGGGGAGGAGGAGTTGAGGGAGAGGGAGACGGCGATAACTCTACTCTGTCACGCTCCCTTGGCACTATCAGTGCTGATATTTCATTGTATGGCTCAAATGAGATTAACTGATGTATTTATGATTACTTATATATGTACTGTTAATGATTATTATTAAGTAGATTATATTTGAAGTTAGTATACTTTTTATAAAGATTTTGTCAATATTGCATTTTCTATTGTACCTAATGTAAGGTGGAGGAGGGTTGAATAGTGTTAAAGTTATGAATAAACTGAGCTATTCATAGCTTCAAGTCAGCATTGACAAAGGTCAGCAGCAGCTGTCCAACAGCAATATACAATGGAGACTAGTTGCAATGACTCGCTTCTTGATGGAGGAAATGCTTATTATGATGTCTTCCTCAAGATAAGCATTGGGACAATGTGCACCTTGTCTGCATTTGGATCCTCCCTTATCATACTGACCTTTATCCTTTTCAAAGACATTCGTACCATCCCAAGGCAACTCCTATTCAATCTCTCCATTGCAGACCTACTGACTGCACTGTCTAACTTCTCTGGGATCTTCACAAATTTTGACAAGTACCTCAACTATTGCTTAGTACCACTGGAGGACCAGAATGCAGGGATACAGAGTGCTTGCATAGCTCAGGCAGCTACAGGGCAGCTGACTACAAACTCATCAATACTATGGACTATATGCATTGCTTTTTACATGTTGATCATTATTGTTTTTCAAAAGGAGTCAATAGCAAAGAAGCTCCTTCCATTATACTACATATTGTCATGGGGGCTACCATTTGCAGTTACAGTCTGGTTTTCTTTTGTTGGCTACTTGGGATATGATCCAGAAACAACACCAGGCTGGTGTGGGATTGTTGGAAGTAAACTCATCACTGATGGCAATTTCACTCATAAAGAGAAGCTTGTGTTCCCTGTCGTGATTGGTTATACAGGGTTTGTCTACGCTGCATTCTTTTTGCTCCCAATCATGTATATTGTAATCAGATGCCACATAAAAATCCTTGTAAGTTAAGATAACATTAGCCATATAGATCATATTGAAAATTTATTTTAATTGATTATAGTTCAAACGCAGACCAGATGGGAAAATGCGAATTCATTTACAAGCAGAATCCAAATCAACAGATCTCAAGATGATATTCATACCACTGATATTCATTTTCATCAGAGTGTGGAGTTTGGTTGTCGATTCTTTTGATTATTATGTTGACAGGGATCTTAAGTACAAGTTTAAGAACTCTACAGTTGGCGCCATATTTGTTTTGGCAAAGGTAATTTCAACCACTGCACATTACAATAGCAATGGCTGCCAGACAGCAACTCAACTTTAGCATTGGCTGATTTTTTAAAATGCTCATAACTCAAAAATATTTTTCAGAATCAGCTCAAACTTTCTACATAGCATAAGTACATCAATGTGTATCAGAAAATGTAATAAAATTTGAGGGTCATTTTGGAGTCATTTTTTGAAAAAACCATGGGCTATAGCCTTGGGTATTTTTCAAAATTTGGCTTGTTTTTAAAATGCTCATAAATTGCAAAATAAAATTCGAAATCGGCTCAAACTTTCTACATAGCATTAGGACATCAATTTGTATCAAAAATAATAAAAATTAGAGTTGATTTTGGAGCCATTTTTCTGGGAAAAACATGGGCTATAGCCTTGGCAAAACATACTATATAAAGTTAATGATGAGTGTGGTATGTGATCAAAGAATTGATAGCTGTGACAAGCATTAAGGTTATAAAAACAGTCCAATGACATTACTTTTATTATATCATAGGGTCTGGGTGACTCTTCACAAGGTTTTGCCAATGCCATCCTATTCATTGGATTCACACAAGCTGTTCGCTGGAAACTATGGAGACCGACACAGAGAGCTTATAAACGATACTGTCGCTGCTGCCGTCACAACAGAGATGAGCTAATGATGTCCAGAGTAACAGAAGCTACTCCATTAATCACTGATGATAGCACTGGAACTGTTTATGCAACTGAGAATATAAATGACTCTTGCTATGAAGCAAATAAGAGTTTTGCTCAATAACTGCTGCTATTGTAAAAAAAAAAAAATTTTAGCATGTATCTATAATGAAGCAGTTTGTTGGCAATGATTGCCATAATGATTCAGCATTTACAAAAATAATATTAAAAAAAATAATCAAAACTATCAGCTATAGTTGATTTCTTCATATGATGACCAAAAAGGGGTTCTCTCATCAGAGAATGCTCTTGGTGATTCTGCTGACTGTACTTGACTGTTTCTGAAAGTGAAAGAGATCTTCCTCCACCTACAAGTGAAAGCGTTGAGCATATGCTGTCTCACTGTTTTGGTGAGTACAACAAAAAGAAGACCATTGATTAATCCTTGACCAGAGTCACCGATACCCTGAGTGTCCATAAAAAGGATATATTATATATATATATATTTATTATTATTATTATTATAGCGTCATAACACTTACTGATAAAATAAGAAGGGTCAATGTCACTCCTGATGGTATGTCGTCCATATCAACATCAGCAAACATCATAATGTCACTGATGCAGCTCCATATCCTTAGCAAGATAAAGAAGACCGGAATGAGCATGAACTTGTAGTCCATGTTATGGACAGAGTCCCAGAATTTCTTTTGAGTCACAAACTGAGAAGTCTTTTTCTCCTTTATAGCATAGGAAAGAGTAAAAGGGTGCGTGTGTGTATATATAGTAGAGAAAGAGAGAGAGTAGTAATAAGAGATGGTGCATAAGTAAAGTACAGACTATCAAAATAATGAATGAAAGAAAGATAAACCCTCACCTGATCGGCTAGATACAGTCTTAGTCCAATGTAAATCACAACAGTGAGGACTATTGTCAGATAGATCCACAAATTGTACCCAAAGATAGCAACATACTTATCGACAGTGTTAGTGTCAGGATTGTATATGATCAGTGCACACCAACTGGCAGCATTGTATGGGGAATATCCTAATTTATGAGTCAAGAGAGCCCACAGGCAAATTCCAAGAGGCATAACGTAACTGATAATAAATGAAATAGCTAAAGAGAACAGGCCTTTCCTAGTACCAGAGTGTGAAATAGAGAAGTATAGATAGACAGCTAGTCCACTAGTCCACAGGACAGAGCTAAGAGTACTGTACATTGCGAGGAATGCCTGAGAGATACACATTGAGTTTATGTAAGATGGTGGGGTCTGGAGCATATCCTCTGACGGATATACACCGTCCTTAAGACAGGCTGAATGCAAGGCAGTGGTATTGATGTAGTAGCTCTCAAAGTTCCCAACGTCTCCAAAGAAATTAGAAAAGGCGACGAGGAAATCCATGATGGCAATGTTAAATAGTATGAGACGAGTGGGAGAGCGCATAGTCTTGAAGCATATGAAGGAAAGCATGACTAAAGTTGCTCCAATCATAGAGAGGAAGCAAGTGGTAGCAACAGTTATTCGTACAGAGTATCTCTGAAGAAGATAGTTATCATTAGTATGAGAGCAATTGACACCACTCAGGAGAGATTCGTACACCATTTTGACGGTTTATTAAAACCATAGATAACATCATAGATATTATAGACTACGTAACCGGGAATCCGGGATTGGAAACAGATGACGTCACTTGTACAGACTGTGTGATTATTAATGAATGAAATTGCATCAAAATCGACAAAAATGGTGAAAATCAAGAAGAATTGTTATGTTTGATGAGCTGTATTAATTTTCTACTGTGATTTAGCTGGTTCTAAATAGCTTATTCTCATGAAGAAAACATCAGAGATCATGATGATGCCTTTCTCTTCGTGGTTAAAAGTTTTAAAACCAAATTCAATTACCGGTAAATCTATTATAAAAAAATTTAAATAGGTAGACCAAAATAATTGCAAATGACCATAAATATTATGAGCAATGAGCTCTAAATTCTAATGCACATTATAAATTATGACATTAGGTAAAAGTTGGTACAAACATTCAATAAACTATCGTGCAGTATTAAGTGCAGTTCTTTCCCATGGTGGTCTGGTGAGAGAGTCTCTCGTCTCTTGACTTCTTCTTCTGCAGTACAAGCAACACAGCAACTCATTCCTCACTTTCTTTGTAAAGAAAACAAAAATGATGGCATTAGCTGCACCTTGACCAGAATCACCCACAGCCTTTGAAAAAAAAAGACGCAAAGTAAAATAATATTATTTTATTAAATTTTTACTTACAGCAAGACCAATTAATGCAATAATTGCTCCGTCTGCGGAATGTGGAACTTTGCCTATGAAAGGCAAGCCAATGTAGACTAGAAAAACTGTTAAAATACACGTCCATATCCTCAGGAATATAAATGTAATAGGAACAAGAATGAACTTAAAGTCGACATTGTGAACGGCTGTCCAAAGTTTGTCCTTTGATATTAAGTTTTTAGTCCCTGAGAGCTAAAACAAAAAAAAATAAAAATACAATACACAATTGTAGTATTAGTATCTAGTCAAAATGGCAAGGAAAATTCTTCATTTAAATTTTTTCTGATGCATAGGCATGTTTTAATGTCATGTGCTGATTTCAATCCAAATTTTTTAATTGCTCAAAAATCAGACCAAAGTCCCTGTACTATAGTACAGGGTCTTCGACCAATTTTTGTCAAAAATGACTAGGAGAGAATTCTCAATTTTTATAATTTTTTTCTGATACATATACATGCACTTATGTTGTGTAGCAAGTTTGAGCTGATTCCGGTCAAAATTAATTTTTTTACAAATTTTTTAAGTTGCTCAAAAATTGGACCAAAGTCCCTGTACTATAGTACAGAGTCTTCGGCCAAATTTTTTCAAAAATGACTAGGAGAGAATTCTCCAATTTTATAATTTTTTCTGATACATATACATGTACTTATGCTGTTTTTCAAGTTTGAGCTGATTCTGATCAAAAATGAATTTTAAGAGAATTTTTAAAGTTGCTCAAAAGCTACCCTATACTGTACAGGATATTGTGTCAAAAATGACAAAAGTAACAATAGCAAAGCAGTGTCAAGGATTTTCCAGTAATTATACTTTCTAATATGATAGACCTGTTGTCTAGCTGCTGCTATTAACATAACAATAACAATGTTATTGCCTTGTGTATAACTGCATCAATTCGCCACTCCATCACAAAGTGAATGAAAGTAAACACACACACACACACACACACAACCCATTGGAGTATTAGTTCTTTCCCACACATTGATGTATTTTATATTTGCTCCTATTACATATTTGGGCATTTAAAATCTTTGTTGTAAAAGCAGAGCAAATCAAATTATTAATCCTAAAACATGCATGATGTAGAATGTACATATACTGACAATAGTAGCACTACACTATATCAGTAGTAGCTCACCTCCATACTGATGTGTGATCTAGTACCAATGAAGAGAACTGGGACCAGAATAAATGTGAGGTATATCCACAAGTCGTAACCAAAAGTCGTCGCTATATAGTTCTTAGCAACACTAGAATCAGAGGCATTTCTCTCCACATTCACAGTAACCAGCGTACACCAACCGGCCGAACCATACGGATTGAAGCTCAGTCTATCGGTACACAGAAACCAGACACAGAGACAGAGAGGACCCAAGTAACATATTATATAACCTAGTCTCAGGACCCAGTTACTTATACTGGGGTTGTAATGGTAGACGACGGTAAAATAGAGGAACACGGCAAGCCAGTTTGTCCAGAATATCGAGCCGTAGGTTGAGTACATTGCAACGAATGCTTGAGTCTTGCAGGAAACATTTACTGCATGCGAAACATTTTCTTTCCACGTTATGGTATCGTTCGAATAGGAGTAGTAATAGTGATCAAAGTAGACAATGCTGCCTGTTAGGTTAGCCAAAGCCACGCCCAGGTCCATGATGGAGATGTGTAGAAGTATTTGTCTCACTTTGGTTCTTCTAACGTGAGGAAAAAGACAGAAAGTGATTATTATAAGGAGAGACCCAAGTATGGAGAGAGTGGAGGCAATTCCAGCAGCTATCCTTACTCCTGTAATCTTGTTTAGAAAATATTGATAGAGAGGAGTCATCATCATGGAGCATTATTGGGGGTGGGATCGAAGGTGTTAAGAAGGTGTGGCTAATTAGGCTGAGCTTGCACTGCAGCACAGCAAGCAAGAGAGAAATGATTAGCAACAATAGTGATTATCCTTCCTGGAGCATTAATAGTGACATTGACAGCGCTTTTTACAAGAATGATCCCATTTTACGAGGTGTAGTGATCGCTGCTTGTATCCTCTCTGGGGTTGGAGCACTTCTAGTCATATTCTCGTATGTTTGTTCCAGACAGCTCCGCTCACAGGCAAGGCTAATCATCCTCCACCTTTCTTTCATGGATTTTGGAGTAGCTCTAGCAAATTTTATAGGCCTCAGTGTCTATTTTAATAAATATTATTTGGAGTCTTATAAAAATGAAGGAGACTTTGATGATGTCACACCAGTAGTTAGGTACTCCTGCATGACTCAAGCTATTGTTGCAGTTTACTGTAACAATAGTTCTATCCTCTGGACACTCTCTGTTGCAATATATCTATACTTTCGTATTGTTACTAATCCACACAGTCCAGAAAAATTTTTTAGAATCCTTCTCTATATAATGTATGCAGTTAATTACGGGTTGCCTTTGGTGCTCACTATATGGCTTGCCCTAACTAAAAGACTCGGTTTTTCTCCTTTTGATTCTTCTGGCTGGTGCTCTTTAATCACATACCGGTACATCGAAATGGAATCATACAAACCTGTGAAGGTGGATGTGTATGCCTCATTCTTTGGGAACGACATGCTGATAATACTGACACTAATAACAATACCAGTTCTATACTTCTCCATAAAGCGCAATGCAAAGAAACAACTTGTAAGCAATAATTAATAGTATGTCCATTATATGCTCTCTCTCATCTTGCAGAGTTCTGTTGCCACTGAGAACCTAAGGCATAAACTGAATTCAATTGAGCTAAAGTTCACAGCAATTCCACTAGTGTTCCTATTCTTGAGACTCTGGTCCCTGATTCTAAGTATAATGTACGACTATGCTCAAGTTGATGACAAGCATGTTCCTCAAAAACTTAAAATCATTCTACTTTACTTATCAGTAAGTGAAACTGTGCAGGCTGTGTAGGTGTAGAATAACACAGGTCTGCAGATATAAGAAGCATGTGACATCATTGCATTAACAGCTTACATAGACCATAAACTCTGTATAGTAGTTCACATGCAGGCACTAACCTGCACAAAGAATTAAGAATTATTATTAACAATAGCCTATTGCTGATTCTTGTATGCATAATGAGCTGGATAAGCACAAAATGAATGTATTACTTTAATAGGGTATTGGTGATTCCAGTCAAGGGACGGCTAACAGTATAATTTTCATTTTCTTCACTGAGAAAGCTCGAAGCATGCTTTGTGCTTTATTCTGTTGCTTCTGCACTTACTTCTTGAAGCAGACCACAGTACAGAGTGACATGCATGAGGACTCACAAGAAAAAGAGCCAATTCTGACAAATTCAACATCGCATCAAGAGTACAAAGCCAAAGGACAGACTCTTTATATTATACAAAGTCACTGAATTTCATCAATTTTTATTTTAGTGTGAAAAGATCTACTATTCATAATGTTCTTGTGTGTTGCTGCACAATTAAAATCATGTATGCTGTATTTTATTCTCATGTTAATTTTTATAATTTTGCTATAAACAACAAAAATTGTAAAAACCAAGTTGCACCACTAAAATGGCAAGGTTTGAGCTAATTCTGATGAAAATTAGATTTTTTTGAATTTTTAAAGTTGCTTATAAATTTGACAAAAGATCCTGTACTATACTACAGGGCACTTCATCAAAAAATTAATGGCTCGGAAAAAATTCTGCAAATTCTGAATACATCAAATCATTTTTTAAAGGTATAATTAACCTCATGTGAGTCCAGCATGAGTACAAATTAATAAAATTAATAAAAGGTAGCAGGGAAAATTTTAAAAAGGTTACAGCTCTCTCTCAATTTTATCGCTGCCTTTAGTAGCTCCATCATACGGTTTCAGATCACACACAACAAAGCCCTCAGACTGAAACTCTTGTATCATTTCGTACTGCACACAGTAGAGAAGGTGGAGGAACTATTGGCAATATCTTATTTTTAAATTACTTTTTTCTTTTCATCAAGACAGAGACCAACTACAGCACCTCCACTCCCACAAAATTTAGCAGATGATCCATACTAAAATTATAAACTAAAATTATTTAGAAGTAAAATAAATATGATCTACCTTTCTCCCTATGCTGATCATTCTCATGTTTTTCTCTCCTAGAGCTTTTTCTGTGTAAAGTTTCCTGTTTTTTTTTAATTTAAAAATTAATAGAAATATTCATTATAATAATTACTTTCGAAGATCAAAATTAGCGTTCATCAATTCAAGTAGCCTATTTAATTAATGAATGTTGAGATAAGACTTATGCAGTAAGTGCAATATATTTACTGATTTGTGTTCTTAGTTTCAATAGCATCTCTATGAAGAATAAGAGTGTGGAAATGATATACAAGTAATCAGCAATACCTTGCTTGATCAGTTATTTCAGCAAAATCTTTCATTCCTTTAATAACCTCTTCATCACCTGAAAGGAAAAAAAGACATAAATATTTTGCAAAAATAAACATGTGTCAATATAAAACAGCTTTGAGGCTCATGCTTGTCACGAATTTTGTGACAATTAAAAGAATGGATTTTTGTTTGTCATGAAATTTGCGACAAGGCTACAAAATACAGATATGAATAAGAAACAGGAAGTGATATTAGTGTTTTATGCACATTTGATTTGTAGTTCACAAACAATTTACCTCCCCTCCACCTTTCTTTCACAGTGCTGTGTATCTTTCCTAAAGAAGGATAATAGCACTTCAGCTCTAAGTTTTCATACTCTAACCAGAATCACTTGGATCACTAACATACGCCAGCCACAATGGAGGAAGATCATTTATTTCCATTGGAATATAATTACCTACAAAGTTGAAGTCATAAGAATATCATAAAATTTTCTCTGGCTTATGGGTATTTCATGAAAAAATGGCTTGACCAAATTTTTGAGCAACTTTAAAAACTTATAAAGAATTGAATTTTGATCAGAATCAGCTCAAACTTTTTATGCAACATAAGTACATGTACAGTATATACTTTAGAAAAAATTATAAAAATAGAAAATACTCTTTTTTTATTTGGCAAAATTTGGCTTGAGACCCTGTACTACATGTACATGTATATAGTACAGGGATTTTGGCCAAATTTTGAAGCAACTTTAAAAATTTGTAAAAAATCTAATTTTGATCAAAATATGCATTATATTAAATAAAAACTTGGACATACACTATTTTTATTACCATGTCCTTGTCGGTTTATCAGTTCCTCAGAAAAGTCCATATATACCAGGCCTTCATATATCTAATCATTGAGATGCATAATAGAAGAAGTTAAAAGTGAACCTAACAATATTTGTTAATAAATATTCAATTATAAAAATTCAATTAACATATTTTGTTAATTTAATGATCCCTTTCATAAACTGATGTACCTGTATAACTCTATCTTGCAGTCCAGCTGTTATGTGAAGCTCTTCCTCTTCAACATTGAGTACAAACTGAGGTTGCTTTGGCTTAGGAATGTCCTATGTTGGTCAAACAATAGCCAACCATGAAGACATCAACAAATGGTAGACATGACATCACATCTGGCTTACATTCTCCGTGAGATTAAAAAACTTCATCAAGCACTTAAAAGTAGAGGATATGATGGCACTGCTTCCGGCCAAACCCTTGAAAAGGAAGGAAATGACATAACAGAGCATTATATAATAATAACAATAATAACAATAATAATAATAATAATAATAATAATAATAATAATAATATTTTTAATACATATAATAGCACAATACTCACCACTTGTCTTGGTATGTTAGTCTCGTAGGAGAGAGAAAAGTTCTTTCTAGCTAGAGCAATGCTATAAAACAATAACACAATATAATGCTTTAATAATTGTAATCTTTTACCCATTCGAGCTACAATATTCATAAAACTTCTTACAAGTTGCCTGCAAGAGTCTCAGACCACCTAAATATCTAAAGGAGAATAAAGATAATAAACTCTAAATATTATTATGTAATGTTATAGCATAATGTGAATGGTGAATGTGCAATGATGGCATTACCCTTCTCTCCTACTGATTCCGTACAAATCAGATAAACTACCAAATTCCGTTGGATCGTTCAATGGATGAAGATTCAGTTTCTGTAAAAACAAGCAAAACGAGACGTGTATTCATTGAAACTAACAATAAATGGTTTGTTGATAAAACAATGAACAAAGGAAATCAAAACAACCTCTTACTAGCTTTGTTGATGGCTTTATTGTGACTTCGGCCCAGAAGTCCCCAATAGTCAGTGATATTGTCTTACCATTAAATCCATCAGAAGGATTGCCAATCAAACCAACCCTAAATAGCAAAAATAAATTAAACTAATAATAAAGCAATGCTGTACACTGTTACAATGAGCATAATAAATGCACATCATGTGCACATTAGTGACATAGTCTCTAATTAAACTAATTCTTTATCTTTCATACATGCTATAATTAGTAACAATTACATATGCTATATTTAGTAACACAGCTCAAATCTTAACCTTGCATAAGTTCTGACAGTGATTGGTTTGAGGGCTGGCTCTTCATTACGTTTAATGGATGACTGTATCCATGAAGTATATTCGCTTAAATCAATCTTTCCAATCAGCTGAAATTGTGAAGGCAACTTCATACCATATAGAGTGTGACCCTCATTAACCAGCCATGACTAAACAGCACATGATACACACGACACGTTGTAACGATGAGTAGAGTGTAACTGACCATAAAGCATCCAAACGACCTGTCTTTTGGCTCACGGTAAAGATCAGTATATTTTGAAATGTACGGTAATGTACTCTTACAAAGACAATAAAATACCTTAAAAAGCCAAAAATGTAAAAAAATTATAATGAGACTGGGAGATAGATTAAAACTTACAGGACATGCTAGGCGAGATGCTGTTTCTTCAGGCTTTGGTTTTTCAAGGAACTTAACAATCCTATTGAACTATATTAGTAATCAATAACCAACCGACTGGTTCACCTTCCCGAGGAGCTGTCTATCTCAATGATTCCTCTCTGCTCTGTGGACTTGTTCTCCTCCAAATCATAATATATAGCAAGGTCACCTTTCTAGAAGAGAGAGGGGAGAGAGAGTGTGTGTGTGTGTGTGAGAGAGAGAGAGAGAGGGAGAAATCATTCAACCATTGATAGTCTAATTATGCTGTTTTTTATAGAGTGCAAATTGAATCAGGATATCAGTGACCAATATGTGTAGGAGTGGATTCACTTATTGCCAAATGGACCACGTCTAATCGACACTTTACTAGTACAATAACATAGCTGATCCATAACGCACCATAATTCAGGGAACAAATGTGTTGACAAGAATATTAGTAACATGCATAAGCAATGGTAATGTGTATGTATGTATGTATCATGTACATGTACATTTATGTATTGTTTGTTTGTACACAATATTTGTACATTGTATGTCTCCAACATAAACATACCTGGTATTAATATGGTGTTTTAAAGGGAAATGATCTTTGACCTAACATACATGTTTAACCTAATTACTACTCTCTTGTCCCTTTCACTTTTACTTATTATTATTATTATTATTATTATTAATTTACCTTGTGTTTGAAATAATCAAGGAGCTGCTCTATGCTGAAATTCTGATCAAATATCATGTCTCCAGCTACCTAAACAAGAAAACAAAGGAAAACAAAATAAACAAAAGAGAAGGAAAGGAATTGAGGAAAGAAAAAGAAACAAACAGTTATAGGAATCCTTACCACTAATATGTCATCGTTGATATTCTTTGAGCGTATGGTAAGCTCCAAAGCGGCAATGGCTCCAATGCTACACAATGATAAAAGAACAGGTGATGTTTGTTCTAAATATTAAAGTATACGCTCCCACCTGTTCTCTGCATTAGTTGAACCATCATTAACAATATTAGGAACAGGAAACTCATTTGCCGTTGCCCATCTCTCATAATGCTTGTACCTTGAGGGAAAGAGAGAGAGGGAGAGAGTTAGGGAGATCAACAATTTTATCAACAAGAGGAAAGAAAAGGGAAGTGGTTTACAAGAAGTACAAATTAGGGAACAGAGCTAAGGAGGAGAATGAAGACAAAAAATTTCATAAATTTCATAAATAAAATAATTTGTCATTCCAAACATAATCCATACTATAATACCATACATACTTGTCTGCGTTGGTCACCAAGTACACCTCCTTAAACTGCTGACGACTATCAACAAAAACACAAAAAACACACTAAAAACAACTTCGGACATACAAACACGTGTAACAAAGCAATGATACATGTTTGTGTGATTGTGCATAAGCAAACAAAGAGAATCAGTCCCTTCGTCACCTTTTAAGTAAGTCCCACCAACAGTTTAGTATCCTTTGGTCATCGGAGAACTTCCAATTAGACCCGGAGGAGGCATTTGATTGTATTGCTGCGGGTAATAGAGCCTTTGGAACGTTTATCAAATCGGTAAACTGTCCCGACTCATCTCTCTATGTTACAAGACACAACACAATGTTAATCAAATAGTGAGAAGTTGTAAACAACAAGTGAGAAGTGTTAAATTAAATATTAAGTGTGTGCTATATGACAATTTATTAATAAGCCGTCCCACTTCATCAACCATGCATTAATCTTAATTATTACAGATAATTAAAACGTAGATCTATTATACATAATCTACCAAAATTTCTTGCTCCAGTTTAGCTCCATGTCCAGCAACTATGATAATACAAATCATTTTTTTGCAAATTAAAAGAGATCTGCTACCAGTACCCTAGTCTTTCAGTGATAAACGCCCAAGATTTAGTAGTAGGAGGAGTAATGGAAGAAGCCTCACAGATTATCTATTCATAGCAGATCTTATCTAATGAATTGTGGAATGCAATTTAGTCTAATTTTGACAAGCCAAGCCCACTTGTAGGAACCAGTGGTGGATACTGGTGTGCGGTGTGTGTGCTATGTGCTGTTGTTTTGTGGATTGTGTGCGTTTGGTGACTCTAGTTGTACCGGACAGAGATAGGATTTGCCCTGCCTGACTATTTGTTTATTCTCTCTTTCCAAAATAAAGCCAGCTCCTAGGAATATTACCACAAAGAGCACTCCTCCTCCTCCTCTTGTTACTATAACAGATCTAGTTAGTACAAGAACAACAACAGTTGCTTGTCTTCTCTTCTCCCATGGCGTCTGACAGTGGTGAGTTTCACGTCCCTCACCTAGAGGTGACGGACGATCTACTGGAAAGGGTACAGTTCTCTGTTTCTAGCAGGAACGCAGAAGCTAAAATATGTGACACTGTTGCTCATATCTTTGGCTCTCCGATGGTAGCTACTCCACGCTCGATAGACTGGAGTTACATAACCACCGGAGTGGTTGCTATGCTCAGGCACAAAGAGCTAGTAAAGAAGAAGTATGTCTGGGGCCTCCATCTCTGCATATACAACATCCAATATGGTGTCTTGGTATGGAAGGGCCGCATTCCTTTGGACTGTAATTACACTGATGTCTCTGATAGTTTTCACGTCTTGGCGCTAGAGGAGGGCAGTGGGATATTGGGTATCGTGTTTCAGGACGACTCAAATGCAAGGACATTCAGTGAGACTGTGAGTAAGTGGATAGAAGAAGGACTCAAGGATGACAAGGGAAAGCCTCAGCATGAACCTTCCCCAAAGATCAAATTCAGGAAAGAAATGATTTCAAAGCCGTGCAACTTTCAGCATGTTCAAGGCTCCCAGGCAATCGAGGAGTGCATAGAGATAGAAAGAATCAAGGGACACATTCATGCTTCCCTGGCCAGTTTTAAACTAAAAGATGGGATAGACGGAAGCAGCCCGGGGAAACGTGCCCCGTCAAAATCAAAGAAAAGAGAGCCCCCGAAACCAAAGATCCCTTTTAAAGAGATTGAAGCCCCCACAACCACTGTTGATGCAACTGATGGGAATGAAGCTTCAACGGAGCTCAATAATGGAAGCTCTCATCATGTTGACATTCCGCCTGGCGGAGACCCCGTCCCATCATACTCATTCCAACCAACGCCACCACTCTCACACCATCAGCACATAGAGCCACCTCCACTCCAGCAGACACACCTACTGGGTGCCAATAATACAGGTGGGTCAGACCCTAGTCAATCTAGTAGTTCCAACCTTGGGCGTTTGTCCCCGCTCAATCTAGAAGATGAAATAAATTTAGCATTTACAGCCTCTCTAATGCAAAGTAGTCTGGGTGATCAGACTATTAGCTTCAACGACTGAGCCCTCTCTCTTGTTGAGGCACATGTTATTTGGTATTTTAAGTGAGTTTATTGTGTGCTTACATCAAGTATGTATGTGTATATGATTGCTGTCTGATAATTTCATGGTTCATTTGTTATGTGTGTATATATTGTGTGTGTACTTGGATTAGTTCCATGCCTTGTAATGCTGGGAATGTTTAAATGTACATGTGTAGGTTGTTGGGGAGAAAGGGACATATAGGGGGAGGCTGTTTAGGGTGGCTGGGTTTGGCTAATTGGTACATCTTTTAGCTTCCTAGCAGTGTTTTGTTGTACTGTAAACAAGGGCACGCCTACAAAGTGTATTTCAGGTTGTGTTGATGAGGATATTGACATTAAACTAAGAGTGATTATTGAATATGAATAAATTTAATGGATTAATATTGATAATTTTGTATAGTTGGGTTGACTGTTTGATTTTTTCTTTAGAAATGTTCCGTGGCTACATGTACTATTAGGAATAATAATGAATCTCATCTCTTTCTGCTACCAGCTGTCTCTATCAATCGATTTCCCTCCTTCCTCTCATCTCTCTCTCTCTTCGTGTTATTATTTATAATTCCAAATGAATTTCCTCTATAAAACTTTAAACTCTTTAATTAAACAGCAAATTAATTATCATTTTATTTTATGTGTACTAATAATTTTCTTTTCTCAAACCCTACTGCAATATTGCTTATGTATCACACATCAGTTATTATTATTATTATTATTATTATTATTATTATTATTATTATTTTGTTATTGTGATTATGAACAAGTACCAGCCAGGTTTGGCTTGTTGCTTTATCATCAATATTTGGCTAACATGACAAAGATTGTTTTTGAAGCTGACGCTGCTTTGCTTACTATTTATGCATACACCAACCAATACACGCTATTGAAAAGGCAAATGCACACACGCGCACATAAAATTTCATCTTACGCTATAATTTATTATAAAAGAGTAGTATGTCACAGATAGTTGAAGTAGTACCCCATATGCTTTTTATCTATTCAGTGAGGTTAATGATAACTGGCACATATGCGGCATCAAAACATAGCTTTAGTAAGCGAACTTTAATTGCTACTGTATTATTACTAAAGGCTAGTGTCTGGGGAATTGATTGTTGGTGGTTCAGCTACAAGAGAGTGTAGTAGTTAGTGGAGAGGAGAGAGTGTGTGTTTGAGAATATCAGGTGTGAATGTAATGCACATGTCCCAGTCATTGTAATTACCATAAAAGGAAGGATAGTATTTTCTTGGCAGCAATTATGACTACTAAATTGACTTCATAATTAAACACAAACAACAAATCTAATAACTACAGGAAGATGAGAAGAATGATACACATTGAGTTAGCAGAAATCTTCCAAAGTCAGCAGCTGCCATTTACAATGTCTCTACTGGACGAATCTGAAGGAGACAGAGGAACTGTTCCTGGAATCACAGCTGGGGTTAAACAATGTGAACAAACAAAAGTAAAATTAAAGTACAATGAAGTTATTAGCAACAATTTAAAGATATTTCAAGACTCAATTCATGGAGCGATTGAGCTACATCCACTTCTAGTGAAGTTTATTGATACACCTCAGTTTCAACGTCTTAGAGACATCAAGCAACTTGGTAAGCAGCACAGCTAAGGATTCACATACACATTCAATTTACTCACATATACTAATAATAGGTGGAGTATACTATGTGTATCCTGGTGCATCTCACAACCGTTTTGAGCACAGCATTGGGTTTGTTATTGATTTTATGTATTGTCATATCTCTTATATTGCCTTTCAGTGTGTGCTATTTGGCAGGAGTATTTATTGAGCAGCTTCGTGAAAGGCAGCCAGAGCTAGGCATCACTGATCGTGAAGTCCTTTGTGTTAAAATTGCTGGTCTTTGTCATGATATGGGACATGGACCATTCTCTCACCTCTTTCAAGACCTTTTTATGACAAAAACAAATCCTAAATTAAAATGGAGGGTATGAAGTATGAACTTGTTAATGCTCATTTTTATAATCATTAAGCATGAAGAAACTTCTAAGGAGTTATTGAAGCACCTTGTTGAAGTAAACAATTTGCACGACCAACTTTCAAAGTATGGGTTAGATTGGAAAAAAGATTCTCTCTTTATTTTTGACCTAATGAAAGGAAAGGTGTATTTATTTTTATATCAATATTAATACAATTATCTCACTAATTTCTAGACTGAAGGCTTTGATGAAAAATCATTTCTATATGAGGTAGATCAATTATAGTTATGATAATATTTACAAATTTCATCCAATTTTATGTGTCTGTAATGTGTACATAATATTGGTAGATAGTAGCTAATGGCATCAGTGGTGTGGATGTTGACAAAATGGACTATCTTCTTAGAGATTGTCATGGATTGGGGATGAAATCAACTTTTGATTGGAAGTAAGCTTTTAGGAACTTAGAAAAGAAAAATACTATTTATGAATATATGTAGGCGGTACATGCTCTGTTGTCGTGTGATTCAGGCTGGTGAGGACAATCAGTATCGCATATGTCCTAGAGAGAAAGTCAGTTACTGATTTTTTACTTTTTTGAAATATTGATTAAGGAGTATGAGAGCTTATGGGAAATGTTCCATATGCGTGATCGCTTGTTCAGGACTGCTTATCAGCATAAAACTAAAAGATTAGTGGAATTTATGTAATACTATGAGTCTATGATTAACTTTTGCATAATGATAAGCAATATTTATGTTATAGGCTTAATGATGCACTAGTAAAGGCAGATCCTTTTCTTCTAATACGAACAAAGAGGTTTGGTGTTTATAATAATATTACTTTCAATTAATGTTGTTTTTAGTGATGGACTAGTGAAAATGTCTAAAGCCATAGGGCATATGGATGCATTTACTTTACTAACAGATAGTGTCTTTTATCGTATCAAAACAAGCAATGATCCTGATTTGCATGAAGTGAGTACCGGTATAAAACAATATAGTCATGCATGACTCTTTATACATTAAATAGTCACAAGAACTGCTTGAGAGGGTTGAAAAGAGAGATCTATACACTTATATTGATCGTTTTCTGGTAAAAGAATCCGAACCATCTACTCCAACTAATCCAAGAGTCACTTCTACAACACTAAGACCTGATAATGTATATCATTTTGTATTTATTTATGTTTATCCTGCAATTATAGACTGGTATCGAAACAAGAATTGCGGAATTAGCTTGTGAAAGCAATGGTATACAAGAAACTGTCACTAGAATGAAGGAAATGATCAAGCTTGATGTAAGGCAATTAATAATTGTTTTTTCAATGTTATTTTTGCAGCAAGTACATTTCAACTTTGGAGAAAATAAAGGGCCCAATCCAATTGATAGGGTTTACTTTTACATGAAAAATTCACCAGACAAACCTGTACTTATAAAAAGTACTCAGGTGTGTGTTATTATTATTCTGTCATAATGCATGAGATCATCAATTATAGACACCTGGAACCTTCTTTCCTAATCATAAAGATTTTGAATATAGACTGTACTGTAAGAGCAAAGATGAAAGCATTATAGAAGCAATCAGAAGGTACCTACAAAATATGGCATTATACCTCCAGATTTTGTTTTTCTTACTCAGTGGTTTAGTTAAATTCTGCAAAGAGAGGAAACATGCTTTTGAAATACCTCCAGTGAGTATAAAAATACTTTGCACAATTTTTTAATCATGCTTTGTTGTAGGGTGAAGATATTTAAATTGATTAAGCATCTAATATGAACACTGACATAATATTAAACGTACATAATTGGCTACATAATACACTGTGTGTTAGAGACACTATTGCACTATTAGACCTATTAATAAAAAAATAGGAATGACGGTGGAATATTATATAAATTTAATTGAGTTAATTATTGTTTCAGCAGAGTGTGTAGTTTTCTGCAGAATTATTATTATTAATTATAAATTATTATTTTTAAAAATAAATTATTATTAATTAAACTAGTAATAGGCGTGGTCAATTTATTAGGCGTGGTCTCAATTACCATGGCGACCGAATGCCACAGTAGCAGTCGGCAGCATTAGGACTTACAGCTCTCCTGGTAGGTAGCTATGGACCCAAGGACGCTTATCGTGAAGCTATCATCAGTTTACAGGTCAAGGAGTTCCAGGTCGATCACTTCTATGCTCTCACTGTAAAGGTCCAGCTGTCAAAATGTCGAACAAAATGTCAACCATTAGTCATGGAAGGCGTTCACCTTCACTCAATCAAAGTCATAGGCCAGTGGTATCAACACAATCACGTACTCCTCATAGACCTCCCATTACTACTGATTCAAGAACTATTGTAAACAGAGTGAGAGAGAAAGTATCTCAACCTCCTTCATCACCATGCCTCTCCGATGCAAGGAAGAAACGACAAAATGAGAGACGAACTGATCCCAAATCTTCTCCTGTTCATTCTTATTCTGCCCCTCACTACAACTACTCCTCTTCCTCATCTTTTAGAACTCCTATCACTGGTACTAGCTCTCATAATATAGCTCACGATAAACGAAGCAGTCAATCTCTCAATACTCAAAGGGTCAATAGTGATGGCCGCTATCATCACCATCATGGGGCATTAGCTAATAGTGTGCTTCATAAAACGACGCCTCTCTGGAATGCAGAGAGAGAAACCTTGGTGGAAACAAACTACCTTTATCGTAGTCACCCGGCTCAACCCCATACTAGTTATACCTCCAGTTATACAGGTATTAGCTCACCTAGTCTGAAACCACGAACCAGCTCCATATCACAGACACAGTCTCAGACCTATGCCTCTTATTCACCTTCTTTTAATCACACCACAACCATTGCTCCTGCTATAGGAGACACTACTGGGGTAAGACACATTCATCGGGGTAGCCATTCAGTTGATAGTATTCCTGTGGCTGGAATAAGAACTTCACCTGAAAGTTCTGTATCTCCTCTGCCTCGGATACCAAAGAGGCCATCAATAGATCTCGTTTCGGCACAGCTGGACAGTAAAGTGTCCAGCAGGAAGATAGTGACAGTTCCATCATTGCTTACATCACATAGTGGACTCCTGGGTCTTTACAACTCTGGAAACACAGTAAGTAAAGGTGTACATTTTGGATTTTATTTTAATTTCATGCATAAAGAATGTGCTGAGAAAATGATTATTATTATTTTTATGTATATCTTCTTAAAGTGCTACATGAACTCGGTCCTTCAGTGTCTGAGTCACACCAGACAAATGACAGAGTTCTTTCTCTCGGGAGATGCAAAGGCAGAGGCTGCAGAAGCAACTAGAACCAAAGCAAGAAGGAGTTCACTCGTTAACGGTACATACCATTGATATATTCTTATGATGAACTTCATGTGTTCCTCTCTTCTTGTAGCTTATACAGAATTCTTAGAGCAGATGTGGAAACCAAAAGATGATAAAGCAGTAACGCCTAACCATTTACGCTCAGCAATGTCTTCCTTAATTCCAATGGTCAGGACTAGCGAGTAAGTATGGCTGATGAGTTAATATTTTTGATTGTCTGACAGACAACAAGATGCTCAAGAGTTCCTCCAGTTTTTACTGTGTTGTCTACACGAGGAGACAAATAAGCCAAAAAAGAGACTAGAGTCTTCAGAATCCTCATCATCGACTAACCTTACGTAAATATACACATTATTACTATTATAGGTCTTATTATTATTATTATTTTTCCAATAGTCCTAGTGAATTGGCACGCTCATCTTGGAAGAGGAGTCTGAGCTATGACAACAGTTACCTCTCAGGTATAGCAGTATATACTGTCATCTCTTCCATTTTATATTCTCCTTGTTTTAGATCTCTTCATGGGTCAAGTTAGAAGTACACTAACTTGTACTACCTGTAGGAACACATCCTTGAGTTTTGAGTCGTTCTGGAGTCTTTCCTTACCATTACCCTCAAAATCAAAATCGTAAGTCATGGTTTACTTATGCAGGGATTTTGGCATTTAGTGCTCATGGAGCTATTTATTAGTGGGATTGTCAAGTTCTTCAAAAATTGGGCCAAAGCATTATTTGTCAAAAATGACTAGGAGAGAATTCTCCATTTTTATAATTTTTTTCTGATGCATATACACGTTCTTAAGTTGCATACAAAATTTAAGCTGATTCCAATCAAAATTAGATTTTTTTATAAATTTTTTAAGTTACTCAAAAATTGGGCCAAAGACCAAAGGCTATATATAGCCTTGGGTCCTTGGCCAAATTTCACCAAAAAAGGCTAGAAGAAAATTCTCCATTTTTATAATTTTTTTGATGCAGGTACATGTTCTTATGTTGTGTAGAAAGTTTGAGCTGATTCCAATCAAAATTGGATTTTTAATAAATTTTAAAAGTTGCTCCAAATGCCATGTATTGTATATTGTAGTTCTTGTTGCTCGTGAAGCTCATACTGTTTATCACACTTAGCATGCTTTATGGGAATCATTGCTATTATGTGTACATAATATCTGCATGTACACACAATTTTAGTCATGAAATAAATGTATGATTTATGATGTGTACATGTACATTACATAGGCATTCAAGTTCCCTATTCATCACTATATCCGACTGTTTCCAGTTATACTCAGCAGAAGAGAGACTAGATAGTGATAATCAACCAGTCAGTGATTCATAAGACTAACAGTTAAGTACACTGTGTATTGTAGGTATGTACCAAGTGTAAATCATCACAGCCAAGCACAAAGAAACTAGATATTCAGATATTTCCAAAAATTCTCATATTACGTGAGTCATTATTAGCTGCTACCTTTGTATTTATTGTTTATTTTCAGATCTTAAAAGGTTCACGGTTCGAAATAGATATTGTACCAAACTGCCCTCTAATGTAAAAGTACCAACTACTGTCACTGTCGAGGAAATAGCAGTTGATAAAGGTGCGTCGTCATAAATCTGTTAATAATGTCACTATGTCATTTTTACTATTATAGAATCTGTTAAATCGTTCAAATATGAATTGTATGGTATCATAAATCACTCCGGTACCATTTCATTCGGTCATTACAAAGCTGAATGCAAGCACAGTGGAAAGTGGTACACCTTCAATGATAGAGTGTAAGGAATACCTCATTATGCCTGCAAGTCTTACTAGGTTTGTATTACTTTATTTTAGTGTGACATCGTCTTCAGAGGCAATGATAACAAATCCCTCTGCATCTCCATATGTACTCTTTTATGAAAAAATCGATCGATAAATTTTAATAGAAGTCTCCAGATACTTTGGATAGCACGTAACTATTGTTGCTGGTTCAACCGAAATTTTATTTTTTGTATCATTCCCTTTATCAGTGTATATTTATTGCTTCAATCAAGACTGGTACTTGATCAGTCAATCAGCATTGTACTGTTTTGTGTTAATAATAATAATATTGAATAAGAAAATAGTTATGTAGATCTACGTGTAAAATGATGCTATGATTGGAAGTTGTGACAACTGGTTTTGACAACTCTTTCCTGGAACTATAAGCAGTAAATCATAATGAGTTGATTCCTTGAGTAGTTTATTTAATAGCTTATAAAAGAAATGCTACTTACTAAACTATTTTATTTCTTGAGCATAGTGCAAGGAGAAACAGTCATGGCACGACAATGGATCCCCTCAGAGCCCTTTGATCAGAAACCTGATTGGCTTGTTACTCTTGTGCAAAATACACCACGTTTTGGGCCACGGAGAATCTTTGGAGTTCGAAAGAGTGACCTTATAGAGTTTGAGAAGAAGGTTACAGTGCAGCTCACTAGGGAGTTTGAGGAGCCACAGGAAATTGGAAGAAGCCTCATTGATATCGACTGCAAAGAGTTTCGTAACAATGGAACTTCAACAGATCTCTACACAATAGAAACAGCAAAGACAAAAAAGGAGCAGAAAAGGAAGTCCTATAATCTCAATATTGGTAAAAGATTTGCTAGCAGTGGAGAGTTTGGGTTTAGTGTTGGTGCTGATTTCTTTAATATTGGTGGGATTGGAGTATCATCAAAGTTGAAACTAGCAAAAGAGAAGACAAAGGAAGTAAGCAGCAGTGAAGAGCATACCAGGACTCTCTCTAACGAATATGGCTTTGATGGTGGCATACCAGTCCCTCCAAAAACTTTTATCAAAGTGAATATCAAGACTTATGCTGTCTCATACAAAGCTGATGTTCATATATTAGTAAAGATGCCTGTTGATGCAATATTACAAGTATTGGCTCCAAGAGTAGAGACGTGTTCATGCGGTGGGAGCAGGATGATCTGGATAACTGCTCAAGATTACCTCAAAGCCTTTGTAGAAAGAGCTGATGAACCTAGATACGATCCAGATCACAGATTGCTAAGCTATGAAACCAATACCACTCTACAATATCTTGGAGAGATAACAAAGGTGGAGGTTCATAAAGATGATGAACACAAAATGGAATAATAATAACTTTAATGATTAATGCTGATGATTGACATTATTATCCGTATTATTATTATTATTCTTATTAGTGACTATAATAAGTATTATAATTATTACTTTTAGTTTGAAGTTTCCTTACACATAATGCTTTCATATTAAACCTACTGACTATACTGCTATCATGCACTATAGCTTAGTTTGTTAGTAGTCTAAGTCTAGTACACAATAGATTTGTATTGGTATATCTAGTCAAACCTATTTATTCCCAAGGGCATAGGCAGGATTTTTGGAATGAAGAGGCAAACACCTTATAGGACCCAATAAAACTGTCTTGAGTATACAGAAGTGTCCTTATTTTATTAATACACAATTTAATTTGGACAGTATCTTTTAGAGTGTCCAAAATAGCAGGTTTGACTATGTGTTGTGATAATTCGCAAGTTTATTCATACTACACACAGCAAATTCTCAGTGAAGCCTATACCGTCCACTTATTATGATTCTTGGAAAGAACACCCCCACTCTTGACACTCTAAAGTTTTGATTTTAATTCAAACTCTACCTGGAACTACAAATCAAACCATTCATCATGATAGTTGATTCAACTCTCATTCTAAGCTTGTAGCCATGGAAATACTCATAGCTATAAAAAGAGTGACCCTTGCTTACAAAGTTACAAGCCAGTAACTTTTGTAGTCAAAACACACTGGGAAGCTAGAATGGCTGGATTTTATAACGAGAACCCATTTTGGATAAACAAGATAATCACTAGCAACCCTAACCGCTTTGGACCAAGAAGATTTGTAGGAGTTCGTAAGGCAGACCTGGAGGACTTCCTTGGTAAACTGGTTCTCACACTAAAAAAGCCAGTTGAGGAGCCTACTGAGGTAGGAAGGAATGTTATTGATATCGATTCAAAAGAGTTTCGAAACAATGGGAGCGAAACGGATAAATTCAGCCTAAAAACTCAAACAACAGATGAAGTTCAAGCAAAGAAGACATATCAGCTAAAAGTTGGAAAGAATACCACAATTGGGGGAGAAGCTGGCCTTGAAGTTGGTGCAAAGTTCTTTAATGTTGGTGGAGTTGGAATATCAGCTAAAGGAAGCGCCTCACGCACCAAAACTAAAGAAGAGGTAACTACAGAAGAGAGCACAAGGAGCCTCTCGCAGGTTTATGGGATTGATGGTAAAATGGATGTTCCTAAAAATAAATTTGTAAAAGTGAGAATAACGACATATGCTGTCTCCTACTCTGCAAAAGCTGAGTTAATTGCTGAGATGCCATATAATGCATACTTAGAAGTTCTTGCACCAAGAACAGATTGGAAAGGATTGTGGGGTCAGGCCTGTTGGTGCAATAAAACTTACATTACTGCACAAGATCTACTCCAAGCCTATACTGAAACACATAACCCAATCGTTCCTGACAGAAATACTGGAATAGCAAGGGTAGATTTTACATCCGAATTGCTGTATCTTGGGGAAGTTACAAAAATTGACAAGGAAAGTGAAGCTCCTATTTCAGAAGCACGTCCCCTTGAGGAGCCTAGAGACTTGAAATAATCTTTGAATTTGTATCTGCTTAGAATTTTAATTTTTTAAATTTTTTGATTGTGTGTTAGACCCTTGAGATTTAAGTAACTATTAAGTATTATTCTGCACTTGATTTAAGTGGGAGGAATGGCAAATCTATAGATTAGATCTAGGTGGGGCTAAATAAAAATTTATTGTTTGCGTGGGTGTTGATGCTATCTGATAAAAGGAGCTGAACTCCAGCAGGTATTCTAAGCAGAAAGGATGTCAGTGCTAGCAGATCTTGTAGAGAAACCTGACTGGGTTGTTGACTTCATTGTAGGCCGCAGACAACGCTTTGGTAGGCGAGATATAATTGGAGTACGTAAAAAAGAACTTCGTGAATTCGTGAGTAAACTCTCTATACACCTTACCAAAGCAGTTGAATCACCAGAAGAACGAGGAAGAAATCTCATTGATATACAGTCTAAAGAGTTCCGAAATAATGGCACACATCCAGACGTGTATGTGCTCAAATCAGAAAAGAAAAGCAAGATACAAAAAAGGAAATCATATCAGCTTAGCATTGGGAAAAAGTTTTCTATTGGTGGCCAAATAGGCTTCAACGTTGGTCCTGATTTCTTCATGGTTGGGGGAGGTGGAGTGGGAGCTAAAATAGGAGCTTCTTATGAAAAAACCACAACTAAAACAGGCCGTAGTGAGCAGAGGAGGACCCTCTCTCAAGAGTATGGGATTGATGGAGATGTGCCCGTCCCCCCAAAAACTTATGTCAAATTGAAGATTAAGACATATGCTGTCTCTTATTCAGCTCAAGTATATGTCAATGTATCAATGCCACTAGATGCGTCTCTAGAGGTAATAGCTCCAAGAAAAGGACTCCTTAAATCTTTCAACTGCAATAGGTCAGTCTGGATAACAGGAGAAGATTTCCTCAAACTCTACACTGGTGAAAGAACAAATCCTCAATGCAACCAGCTCCGAAACACAGCAAGCTATGATCTTGTCACGACTCTACAATATCTTGGTGAGGTTACTAAAATTGACAAAGAAGATGAAGAGCCAATAATTGACTGAAGATAAACTATAGATACCAACATAATTGTTAAAATAATGTATTTAAAAGCAGACTATAATAGAAGAGACTTTTTTAAATTTAAGAATATTATATTACATAAACTTGTTTACTTTTTGTTAGAGTTTCTTAAGCTGTTCCAAGAAATATCCCATTTCTTTTACATATCTCTAATCATGAATAACAATTAAGGATGCCATGATAGTAGCTACACTTGGTTTCAAGTTACACTGCTATATAAAAGAGGGCTACAACAACAAGCTAACTACTGGCTAACACTTTCGAAGAAATGGCAGCTCAAAATAGATACAATGTACAAAGTGTTCAAAATGAATTAAACAGGGCAGTAGCTGGAGCATATTCTGAGAAGCCATACTGGCTGGCAGCTCTACTCCGCCAAAATGAAGATTTCTTTGGAGCTAGAAATTTGATTGGAGTTCGTAAAAGTGATTTAGACACCTTTGTAAGCAAACTTATTATTACATTGCGAGAATCTGTTCCTGACCCAGTGGAGTGTGGTAGGAATGTGATCGATATTGATTCCAAAGAGTTCCGAAACAATGGGAGCGAAATGGATACATTCAAATTGAAGACACAAACAACAGATGAGATTGAAACAAAGAAGACATATCAGCTAAGCGTTGGGAAGAACATCACGGTTGGGGGAGAAGCTGGCCTTGAAGTTGGTGCAAAGTTCTTCAATGTTGGTGGAGTTGGTGTATCAGCTAAAGGAAGCGCCTCACGTGCTAAAAATAAAGAAGAGGTAGCTGCAGAAGAGACCACAAGGAGCCTCTCACAGGTTTATGGATTTGATGGAGACTTGCAAGTTCCTCCTAAAACTTTTGTTAAAGTGAGAATAACAACATATGCTGTCTCCTACTCTGCTAAGGTTCAGCTGCTAGCAGAAATGCCTGAAGATGCAACACTAGAGGTCTTAGCTCCACGAACAGGGTTTTTCAATTGCTGCCGTAATAGAAAAGTTTACATTACAGCAGAAGATTTTTTAAGAGTATACACCGAAACAAGTGCAAACCCTCGCTTTGAACGTGGACTTGTGAAAGTGGACTTTGCTGCAGACTTGCGTTACCTTGGAGAAGTTACAAAAGTAGACAAGGAACGAGAAGAAGCCATTGTAGAAGAGGACTAAAAACTTTTGCTAGGCCCGCTTCACATAGTTGAAAATATAACTATTATAGATAGTACATATATACATTGATTATTTTGATCTACATTTCTTAGTTATTTTTTTAAAAACATTAGTAACAATTATTATACTATTGTGAGTATTAAATTACATTGGGGTGGACTGGTTGCACATAATAAATATTCTCAAAGCAGGCAATTGGAGGTCACTTTGTAATTTTTGTTCCAATTTTAATTTATTATTTAAGAATTATCATGTGGTACATATATTATGTTCCATTAGTATAATGTACATTGTTACGCATCAAGTATTTTCTATTTAGCAAGAATAGAATTTTTATACACTTTCTGATACATTTTGTAGAAAGTTTGAGCTCAGATGATTCCAATATCTTGGCTTTAAGAAAATTTTTCATTTTAATAATTTTTCATGTGTTCTTATGTCATGTAGAAAGTTAATTACAATCATAAATTTTTAAAGTTACTCAAAAATTGGGCCAAAGTCCACTAGTGCTTTGGTTGAATTTCATCACAAATGAATACAAGAGAATTCTTCATTTTTATAATTTGTGACCATAATTGACAAAAGGTACCTTATGGCGGATTTTTAAATTCATCATTATAATGAAAAATATCAACCTGTGAGTGCTCTGTTAGTCAAAAATTGTTTCTAAAAGTTACATAATAACTTTTTGCATCCTCTGGAGTACTGAGTTTTATGTTAAATGGAGTTCAGGAAGGTGGAATTGTTAGGCTATAAAGACCAATTTTCCTATCCGCCATAAGGTACCTTTTGTCAATTATGGTCACATTTTTTCTGATACATATACATGTACTTATGCTGTATAGAAGTTTGAGCTGATTCTGATTAGCATTAAAATTTTTTTGAAGTTGCTCCAAATAGCATGTACTTTTATTGTAGTTCTTGTTGCTATTACTGTATCATTGTAGTTGCTCAGACTTCAGATATAAATTATCAATGTACATTTAAAACCATGTTTTCAAAAGTTATGACAGCTGGTTTTTACAGCTCTTTCCTGGAATTAGAGTTGTAACCAAGGAAACCTAAGGAGTTAATTATTTCCTTGAATAGTTTATTCAATACCAGTAGCTTATAAAACAAATACTGCTACTGAAACAATTAGTTTATGCACATAGTTCAAAAAGAAACAGCCATGGCACGACAATGGATCCCACCAGAGCCTTTTGATCAGAAACCTAATTGGCTTGTTACTCTTGTGAATGGCATACCACGTTTTGGGCAAAGAAAAGTCATTGGAGCTCGAAAGAGTGACCTTATAGAATTTTAGAAGAAGGTTACAGTGCAGCTCACTGAAGAGATTGGTGAGCCAAAGGAAATTGGAAAAAACCTCATTGATATTGAGTGCAAAGAGTTTCGTAACAATGGAACTTCAACAGATCTCTACACAATAGAAACAGCAAAGACAAAAAAAGAGCAGAAAAGGAAATCCTATAATCTCAATATTGGTAAAAGATTTGCTAAGAGTGGAGAGTTTGGGTTTAGTGTTGGTGCTGATTTCTTTAATATTGGTGGGATTGGAGTATCATCAAAGTTGAAAGTAGAAAAAGAGAAGACAAAGGAAGTAAGCAGCAGTGAAGAGCATACCAGGACTCTATCTAAAGAATATGGCTTTGATGGTGGCATACCAGTCCCTCCAAAAACCTTTATCAAAGTGAAGATCAAGACTTATGCTGTCTCATACAAAGCTGATGTTCACATATCAGTAAAGATGCCCATGGATGCAAAGCTGCAAGTATTGGCTCCAAGGGTAGACTTGTGTTCTTGTGGTGGAAGCAGGATGATCTGGATAACTGCTCAAGATTACCTCAAAGCCTTTATGGAAAGAGCTGATGATCCTCAGCATGACGTAGATCACAGATTGCTAAGCTATAAAACCGACACCACTCTGCAATATCTTGGAGAGATAACAAAGGTGGAGGTTCATAAAGAATACGAACACAATATCGAATAATTGATTTAATAAACAATTAAGTTTATTAAAAGTTTTTTTTGCAAAAGTTTTGCATAGTAGATACTGCAGCCATGGCATACACTAGTACACAACTAAACAATGAAAAGTTACACTTCCGATTGTTCAGTTCTTTGCATTAGTAATTGTTCTCAGTAAAATTGTATAATCATCCCACTTATTATCATTAAAGGTTTCAATAATTCAGTCATTTCGGTGTCTTGCTTGAGTATAACTGTTCTTGGCATCCCACTTGTTATCGTAAGGTTCCAATAGTTTGGTTCCTTGAATGAGTAACCATTCTTGGTGTTCCACTTGTTATCATAAGGTTTCTATAGGTTTCTATAGTTTCTATAGTTTCTACAGTTTTCTATAGGTTTCTATAGTTTCTATAGTTTTCTATAGGTTTCTATAGTTTCTATATATTTCTATAGTGTCTATAGGTTTCTAGAGTTTTCTATAGTTTCTATAGGTTTCTATAGTAGCCGCTCTTGGCATCCGGCATCCCACTTGTTATCGTAAGGTTGCTTTCTTGGAATGAGTCCCTATTCTTTTGGTTAGACTATACCTGGAATTAGAAACCAAACCACTCCTTTGGCACAAAATGTTATTCCAGACTCTCATTCCAAGCTTGTAGCTATGGCAATACATCAAGTTTTTGGATAGCTATAAAAAGAGTGACCCTATTATTCACATCACACAACCTGGTTCATGCTTTTGTAGTGACACAGTTTGCAACAAAGAGAACAAAGAATGGCTGGATTCTATAATGAGAACCCATTTTGGATAGAAAAGATAATCAGAAACAACGAAGCACGTTTTGGACCTAGAAAATTTGTAGGAGTTCGCAAAGTAGACCTAGAGGAATTTCTTGATAAACTGGTTCTCACACTGAAAAAGCAAGTTAAGGAGCCTAAAGAAGAAGGAAGAAATGTCATTGATATCGATTCAAAAGAGTTTTGCAACAATGGGAGTCAAGAGGACACATTTCACCTAAAAACTCAAACAACAGATGAAGTTCAAGCAAAGAAGACGTATCAGCTAAAAGTTGGAAAGAACATCACAATTGGGGGAGAAGCTGGCCTTGAAGTTAGTGCAAAGTTCTTTAATGTTGGTGGAGTTGGAATATCAGCTAAAGGAAATGCCTCACACACCAAAACTAAAGAAGAGGTAGCTGCAGTAGAAGGCACAAGGAGCCTCTCACAGGTTTATGGGATCAATGGTGAAATGAAGGTCCCTAAGAATAAGAAGGTAGAAGTGAGAATAACGACATATGCTGTCTCCTACTCTGCAAAAGCTGAGTTAACTGCTGAGATACCAAACAATGCATACTTGGAAGTTCTTGCACCAAGAACAGATTGGAAAGGATTGTGGGGCCATGCCTGTTGGTGGAGAAAAACGTACATAAATGCACAAGACCTGCTCAAAGCTTATACCGAAGCACCAGAAGTTGATGTTGATGAAAACACTGGAATAGCAAAGGTAGAATTTGAATCCAAGTTGCTGTATCTTGGAGAAGTTACAAAGATTGACAAGGAAAGTGAAGCTCCTATTTCAGAAGCACGTCCCCTTGAGGAGCCTTAATCTTACAAAGACTTGACTTAGATGTAATTATTTTTCAAATTTAGATTTGCCTAAATCATAATTTGCCTTTCTTGGCTATTATTAATTTTTGATAGTTATTACAGTTAATATATTGAAAATTTCATGTGGGGGCAATATTAGAGCACGTAGAAAAGAACTTTAACAATAACAACTAATTATAATCTCTCTACATGAAGTTATATATGTTTGATTAAACCATTATTGCATAGTACATTGTATATTAATAGTGTCATAGTTTTGGTGTGTATAGTGCAAGCCCAATAGCAGACAAAGAGGCAGCTATCAAAACCAGGTACCCAGTCCGATAGACAGTTGACATTTGAAAGCCTTTACCTGAATCCCACATCTAAGAATGCAACAAAATAAACCTTTCAATTACAAACACAAAGCAAACTCACAAAATGCCGAAAGCTATTGAAAAAATGATAAGTAAAGGCAAAGGCAAGTCCAGTCTTGCAGCCAAAGATGAGGTAAGGATGAACTGAGAGCTCTTGTATTGCAGTAATGAACTGTGGGAAACTCTTACCACTGCTCAACCAAGCCAATGTAGTGGCCCATAAATCTTTAAGAGTTAAGAGAGAGAAGGAAAGAGAAAGGGTTACTTAGCCTCAGGGTTTCCCACAGTAGTGCTTAGTTTCATATCAGTGGATTTTTTTATTTACTCAAATATTCTATATTGATAATTTGTCAAATTTTATCAAACAGGCAAGGATAGAATTCTTATTACCTTTTCTGATACATACACATGTTCTAGAAAGTTTGAACTGATTTATAAAATCAAGCCAAGACCAAAGGCTATAGCCTTTGATCTTTGGCCAAATTTTGTCAAAAATGGCTCAGAGAGAATTCTCCATTTTTATAATTTTTCTTCATACATATACATGTTCTCATGTTGCGTAGAAAATTTGTGCTCATTCCGATCAAAATTAGATTTTTTTATAAATTTTTAAAGTTGTTCCAAAATTAGATAAAAGTCCCTGTACTATAGTACACGGTCTTGGACCAAATTTTGCCAAAATTAAAAAAGAGAGAATTCTTCATTTTTATATTTTTTCCTGATACATATACATGTACTTATGATGTGTAAAAAATTTGAGCTGGTTCCAATTAAAATTAAATTTTTCATGCAACTTTTAGCATTCTTTGTGGGAAACCCAGGCTAGCCTTTACAAGCAGAGAAGAAGAGAAGAGAATGTATACATACCAAAGGAGAGAATAACTCCAGTTATTCTGTGAGATATGGAAAGCATAGCAGGTAGCTGAGGACTGTGAAGGCGCAAGGTATCATTAAATAAGATATCATTAATACCTCTAACTTACTTTGATAATAATATGGAGAGGTGAGGTGAGATTGGGCGATTGAGCTCCTTGTTTCGCTCAAAAAAGTCACCATTAGCCATCGTACCACTTTTTCTGCAGCATCTAATAAAAGACAAGTTTCAGTGATACATTACATGCGTAGTCAACTCTGAATAAAGCTAGTCAGACTAGAATAAAGCACTTCAACAAAAGTAGTGAGTCTAAAATTTTGAATTCATTTTAGTACATAATTCTACATACATCAATGCTCATAACACAATACCAAGCTTAAAGTCTGAACCAATTTTTTATTGAGAAGCTTTTTCAAATTACCTAAATAGGTCATTACCCCATTATCGACAGTTACATAACTACTTACATGATTGAAGTTGACTGAAGGCTAGTGTTTACCACTGCCTGTCTAGACCTATGAGGGAAGACAAATATAAATTCTAAAATATCTCATGCCTCACATAACAGCAACTCTTAGAGTGGAGAAAGAAGACAGCCTCAAACTTGACCTCAACAAACAAGACGCCATTTTGATATTAAAATTAAAACGTGGGTGTGTCTTGCTAGTTATTAATTAAGGCGGGGTCACAGTTACATAACAAAGATGGCTGCCGGATCTATTCTTGTTGCTCGAGCTCTTTGCAGAGGATCCCTGTCTCCTATGTGGACAAAACCACTACCTAGCATTAGTAATAGTACCTAAAATATTACATACTAATTTATATTCATTTTTAGACGTGCTAGCTATGTCATCACCTAAGAAACAATTAATGTCGCGTTCTCTATGTAAGTTAAGTGTATATATATTCATTTAGATTCTAATGTATCAATAGCAACAAGTACAGTAGCGAAGAGTTCGTCGGGGAAGCACTGGTTTTCAGAGAGGATAGTCTCTGTTGCTATAATGGGTCTCATACCAGCTGGTCTTATGTATCCCAATCCTATCATTGATTACAGTATTGCAGTGCTCCTACCTTTGCACATACACTGGTAAATAATGCAATGTTACTTTTTGTTGCTGTTTACACAAAACTTTACACAAAAATTAATACTAATTTTTAATCAGAATCAACTCAAACTTTATACACAACATTAGAACATGTATGTGCATAAAAAAACCATGGGCTATAGCCTTAGGTATTTTTCAGAAAATGGCATATTTTAAAAAATTTCCATAATTTGAAAAATTGAAGTCGGAATTGACTCAAACTTTCTACATAGCATAAGTACATCAATATGTATCAGAAAATGTAATAAAAATTGGGGGTGATTTTGGAGCCATTTTTTGGAAAAAACCATGGGCTATAGCCTTGGGTATTTTTCATAAAATGGCATATTTTTAAAAATCGCCATAATTTGAAAAATTGAAGTCGGAATTGACTCAAACTTTCTACATAGCATAAGTACATCAATATGTATCAGAAAATGTAATAAAAATTGGGGGTGATTTTGGAGCCATTTTTTGGAAAAAACCATGGGCTATAGCCTTGGGTATTTTTCAGAAAATGGCATATTTTAAAAAATCGCCATAATTTAAAAAATTGAAGTCGGAATCGACTCAAACTTTCTACATAGCATAAGTACATCAATATGTATCAGAAAATGTAATAAAAATTGGGGGTGATTTTGGAGCCATTTTTTGGAAAAAACCATGGGCTATAGCCTTGGGTATTTTTCATAAAATGGCATATTTTTAAAAATCGCCATAATTTGAAAAATTGAAGTCGGGATTGACTCAAACTTTCTACGTAGCATAAGTACATCAATATGTATCAGAAAATGTAATAAAAATTGGGTGTGATTTTGGAGCAATTTTTTGGAAAAAAACCATGGGCTATTTTGCACCAATGCCAAAATCTTATTGGAAACTCTGCAATTGAAGTCTTCCAGTCTCATTTTGTACTATTATGATGTATTTTAATTCCTCTCCTCTTTCCTTTCTTCTCTCCAGGGGTATTGCATCAGTTGTTGTTGATTATGTTCCAAAATCAATTCAAATGGTAACAAAGGTATTCTTGTCGACCCTCACTCTCCTTACAGTCGGTGGTCTTGTTTATTTGACGTATACTGACGTTGGAGTCTGCAATGCCGTCAGAATGCTATGGACAATCAACTAACTGAGTCACACACTAACTTAATAGTAATTGTAATTGTTGTAGACTGTTCACATTAAACGCATTGTATTCTTGCACAAGAGTAAGGTATTACCTGCTTTCGTGGTTATATTGTCATAAATTGTTACTAAAAATAAAGTTAATAATAATTAATACATATAATCATTACGATATAATAACAGCTTTTCTCAGCAATTAAAATATTGATTGCAGCATTGTAAAACTATTCCTGACGTCCTAGTTGTATCGCTCTGGGTGTAACAGACGATCAGCAAACATTTCATGAGTGTCATTTGAATTTGTGGGCGTGGGAGCAAGGACGAGCCGAGGAGTAAGTCCCTCTTTTTCATCGTCATCATCAGAACTAGAGTCATCCTGTGGAATAACCGGTACCATGCTGTACTGATGAGTCCATCTTGCTGCACAAAACTTCAAGTAGCACTTCCTTGATAACATGAATAGACCGTACACCAGTACAAAGACCAGCGGTAGATAGAGGAGTCCTTTGTAACAGAGCCATGCCCAGCCTGTAGCAGAGAGGCCGGCCAGGAGTGCTAAATAAAGGAATATGATTGCATCCATAGTGTTAAATATATCGTTCTTGTACGGGCGAACAGTGATGAAGACCAGTGCCACTATTATACTAAAAACAATCTCGAGTGCTAGCAAGACTTTTGCTTCATGAAATAAGTACATTAGTCTTAGGATTACTCGAAGGTAAATATACAGCCCGGCAAAGAAACGGAGATCAAAAGACCCATTTTCCCCATCTTTAAAGCAACTGTTGAATGTACCCACTAGGGCCTTGAGCCTTTCTATATGGTAATGTCGCCTCTCCAGCGATCTCTGTATGCACTGACTGAAGAGCAACACTGTTGATGGTATCAGGACTAATACTATTAGTATAAGCAATGCTACTGATGCATACTCAATATGACCAGGACCAAAATAATCGAGCGTTCCATCATAATAGAAAGCAGTACCAACCCATTGGCCAGACATTGAGTACATGAAGGATGGTTTGAGTAGCTTGAAGCAAGTAGCTATGATCCTACTTGCACATATGATAGCCACAGTGGCAAAGCTATCCATTAGGGACAGCTTGAACTTGAGTCTCGAGCAACGACAGAGTTTACTGATGGTCTTTGTGACTAGTACGACCGGCTTTACCTTGTAACTGTTCATGAGTACCAAGGAGTAGAGGAGAGCCAGTAACAGTAGGGGATAAATGGCTGCTATAAAGTCCAATAGGACTGCATGTATTGGCATAAAGTCATCAGAGAGGCAGAGAGGAGGGAGAGGGAGAGGAGTGATGATCTCAAAATTAGCAATGCTGTAAAATAGAGTGAACCCTCTCACTATGGTATTGTTGTATTGTAGCGAGGTGCTGTTGTCAATCTCAAATACCCACGAGGGATAAGAGAGTCCCGGGTATTTGATGGAGACTGCTTGAGCAAAGAAAATGAATGCATTAGTCCCACCAGCGTTGAGACTAATGCTCAGTCCAACAATGAGTATGATTAGTACTGTCACAGCAAACACTTCAATGGCTAACTGTATATACCAGCCTATTCCATGATGGCATTTGATGCAACGGAAATCAATCGTGTTTGAAGACATTTGATAGTCACTAGAGCAACGTCCACAAAGCCTACCCTCTCTATTCCCAGGACACATGTTAGGAGCATACGTCGAATTAAAATCATCTATTTTTTGACAAGGTAGTGTCCGCCCGTATGAATAAGGACAGCCACCGCCAACCATTGAGTTAAGTGTTGAGGTATTATCAGTAGAGCTGGTATTGCTCCAACAGTAGCCAGACACTGTAGTCAGGGATGAGTTGAGTGTACAGGGAGTTTGAGTGAGTTGACACGTTGCACTATCAACACACTTTAAACCAATGTCAGGCTCAAGTGTCACATAACACTCTGGGCATTTGAAATAAGTGAACAAGGGACACTCTTGAAAGCTAACTGGAACAAGAGATTTCAGAGATGGTCGGCTAGTTGTTGATATAGACATCATTGCACGTTTATTCTTAAAGCCCAGACAGGTGCTATCCACATTTGCTTGTTCAGAGTATAGGATGAGAGGGATTGGACCTGAAGTTTGAGCACTAATACAGTCAGGAGCATCAGTAGGATAAGTCAGAAATGAGCCAAAGCCAGATTCGATGCAAATCTTAACTTCCTGAGTGTCCTCTTGGTCATAGTTATTGTATACTTTGAGTGGGAGGGCTAGTGGCTGACCAGGAGCAAATATTAATGGTATCATTGAAGTAATGTTGATATATGCTGGCCCGGACTGTATAAATTCCTGACATTCAGAATCACTGTCATCGTAATGCCACCAGTTTCTCCAACAGAATGTCTTTTTTATGTCATCTTTTGTCAGCAAAGGAGACTCGCTATTTGTCCAGGCACACGGTAGCAACGAGTCGGCATATATAGAGTTTGTTTTTTTACCGGCTATATTGTCACTGAAGAAAAAGCTCGTATTCCAGTTGTCTGGATGTATAGACTCATCAATATACTGTATGAAGCATTGTGCTATTCCTACCCCAGTGTATGATAGACTACTGAGGCTGCAGCCAGTCTCATATATAGCCCCACCAGAGAAGTAAGCTGTGTTACCCATAAAGGAGAGATTGATGTCATGAGATACAATGACTTTAGCACAATTACTGAGGTGTATAGCTGGCCCATTGTCAGCAGTGTTTTCAGTAAATGCTAACACCTGGCTTGATACGCTTATCTCAGTTTGATGAACATCCAGTGCAGATCCCCTATTACCCATAAAAGTAGTTAAGTTTCCAGACAGTACTAGTGGCAGCATTCGTGTGTATACAATACCAGAACAACCGGTGTCCGATGGAGAGGAACATGCATCATCTACACTGTTATAGTCCCAGACAGAGTCTGAGAGGACTACTGCTAAGGGGGTTGAATAAGGGTAAAGGTGAATGAGAAACATAGCAGCTCCTTGTGGTGCTTGATTCATTGTCATATGAGCTCTATCAAGTGTCAGTTTCCCTGGATCACCATTAAAAACTTTCTTAATCATCGATTTGACCGTGATTCCTCCACCAAATGAAGTAGCAGCATTACCACTAATTGTAGTAAGACTCAAACTGATGCTGTTATTCTCTGAACCATACAAAAACATTGCAGCACCTCCTTCTGCTAGCGGAGGGATAAACGTTTTAAATGCATCAGGAATAAAAGCTCCGTTGCCCGAGATGGTGTCATTATACGAGACAACGCTATTATTCATTGCATTGTCATCAAAAGATACGTAAAGTGCTCCACCAAACTGAGCTGTGTTGTGATTAAATGTATTTGAGTGTAGATTAATAGTATTATTGAGGGCATTTCCTTTGAAGATAATACTCAGACCACCTCCTCTTCCAAGACCAAAATAGTCCCGGCCTGTACTAGGATAAGGATCAAGGTTGATGAAAGATGAGGGTGACGCAGTGTTATTATTGAAATCATTTTGGCTGATTTGATATTGAGCGTTTGACACAAGTGAACTGTCAATGTTTGACGAGCCTTTGCTTGGGCAGTCAGGCTCGTCTGGATCACAGTATGAGAACTCTATGACTACGCCACCACCTATTGGTGAGGGGTAGCCTCCATTTGAAGTGAAAAAAGAATTTGTAATGCTATTATTGCTGCCTATTGTGTTGTACAGAATGAGACCATAGCCTGGACCACTAATGGCAACTGAGTCCAAGGTAACATCCGAGCAGAACAGAAAATAAAGCGAAGCATGAACTGTCATGTACTGGAAGCTGCTGGTGACATTAAAATTTCTGCTGGTGCTTGTCACTTCCATGTTGCATCCTTGGAAAGTTATGCTTTGTATAGTGATCCGTTCAGACATGAAGAAATACAGGCCACCTCCATCAGAGCATCTTATGATAGTTGCATAGCTACCAATGAATGCAATGTCAGACAGAAAATCTATTCTTGTCTCTTCTAGATGGAATATTCCATCACTGAACTGAAAGGTTGTGGAGTTAGATATATCATCTAGCACGTCCTGGATACTTGACTCTGTTACGTGGACTGTTTTTCCCCTTGCAAATACAGCAAGACAGCTTAGAACAACTAAAAGCAAAGCCTTCATCCTTCCAGGAGAATGGAGACACGCCCTTTGCAGATGTCAGGATAAATTTGTAAAGAGGAGGAATGATTCATGAATAATAATAATAACAACAGAACTAGATTTAGATTTAAGAATGTAGATCGATAGTAGCAGATGAAAATCCCTCCCTTTAATATAAAATAGTACAGTGAAAAACCTGTATCCTAAAAAAGAACAATAATAATAAATAACTTGATAATAACAATGAGTTGAAATTTTTTTAAAGTTCTCCATGAGCCTCTTCACCATCTGCTGCTGGCGGTAACGTTAAAACTTCAGGCTCTTCTGATGACTCTTCCTTCTCCTTTTCATTTTCTATTAGAAAATTAAAAGGAAAATATAATTTCATTATACTATACGTGTACATCAAGCATACTTGAAGGAGGCTCCTTTTCCGTTTCACTATCAGTTGGAGGAGGTGGTAGTTCCTCATTAAAATCAGGAGGAAGAGTATCATCGCTACCAGGACTGTCACTAGGATACTCCGTTGTATTGCTCACATCCTCAGGATCAGCCGTCTTTGTCTTATTCTTTCCCGACTCCGTTTTAGTTGAGTTGGATTTACTTTTAGAAGTTTTAGGTTTAGGAGGTCTGTAGTTCCTGGCTTTGTTTACAAGGTACATCATTTCTCTGCTTAGTTTTGCAGTCTTGTCCTCAATATCAGAGCAGAGCATGATGGGATCTTCATAAGGTTTGGTGCTATTCTGAAGCTCTTCTGTTTCTTTGTACCATTTCTAAAAATAATTTAATAATAAAAGGGACAACGTGGCAACTGGCAAGTATGAATTGAGTCAGTAAATTCATAATAATAAACAGTTGATCTGGTATTTTATTTATTGTGCATGAATTTTAATACGATGAATCAGCTACTGTACATACATGTATTAAGAGAGCATGCCCAGAACATGCTCAGTAGAGTAATGAATCAGGAATGATGCCATGTTAAAAGGCCAGCAATGCATGTACATGATAGCATTCATTAGAAACAGATTATTGCATTGGTTACCAGTGTTTCCATAGTCAAGTCTTCAAGTGTCTTGATCTCCACTTCAGTAAAGATATCTTCGCTCATATTCCTCATGTAGAGTATCATGGCGTAGGATCGATTAAGACCAATAATAAGATCCTGGATTAACTTGGGCCGTTTCAAAGCTTCCTTCAGCCTACGGAAGACTGGCCTTGACAATCTCTTGAGCTCACGATACTTCTGTTGGTAGATCTCAGTTGCTGCTTCATATCCATCGTCCTCTAGCCATTCCCCTGTAGTCTTCAGTGCATCAAGTATCGACGAGCGTTCCTCTTCGGTCGAATGAATGTTCACTTCTTCAGAATACATTTTGTCTTGAGTTTCAAATATGTGAGACTCGAGGGTGTTCTTTGCCATTTCGTTAAGTCTCTTTTCTTCGTCGCGTTGCTGCAGCCATTTTAATCTAAAAAAAATAATGTATAAAGAGCATCAAACATAAAAATATAATGCACTTCATACGAGTCTGGTGATAATTTCTATCTTACTTTGTTACTGAGATTTCTCTTCCTTTATCAGATAGGTCATGTAGGTCAAGCTGTGTCACAACTGACGTCAAATTAACTTTGACCGTCCTCATCTTTGCAGTGTCTTTACTTTCCTTAGCTGTAGCATTAGCTGAAGCATTGTTAGGGCTGGTGCCATTAACTGAAGAGGAGACGTTGAGTGTGCTGGCATTACTAGCGGGTGCGGTTGGCTCGTTTATCTCTTCCTCCTCTTCTTCTTGTGATGGTGGAACATTCTCTGTTACACACATTAAAATAAATAATAAAAAAAAATATAAATATACATGTACATACCTTCATTATCATCAGAGGAGGTGCCTTTATCATCAGGTGAGTCTTCTTTTGTGGGTGTGTCATCATCAGTCGATGGACTTTCTTCTTTAGTGGGTGTGTCATCATTATCCGAAGGTATATCCTCTTTGGCTGTTGTGTCATTATCTGAGGCTGTGTCTCCTTTAGTGGGTGTGTCATTATCAGAATCAGAGGGCGTGTCTTCTTTAGTCATTCCTTCATTCGAAGCTTCAGTTTCTTTTTTATTGGATTCTCCAGAGTCTTGTTCCCTTTTGTCTTCAGTTGGTGGATCCCCTCCTTTCTCTTTGTCTGCTTCCTTCAATGTCTCTTCTCCTGTAGGCTTGTCTTCTTTTCCTGTTTCCTCTTTACCAGTCTCAGTCTCTTTGCTTTCTCCTTCAGTTTTATTTTTACCTTCTTCCTCTTCTGATCCTCCAAACAGATTAGAGAAAGCATTCTTTAATTCTGAAAAAATAATAAACATTGAATACTGAAAATAAAGAAGAGGAGAGAGAGAGAATAAAAAAGGTGATGTCCTCACTTGAAAAAGTTGACTCTTCTTCTAATTGAGGATACTCAAACAATGATTCAGCCTAAGAGCACACACACAAATCAACAAAAGGATAATATAACTGATACACATACAGAGTCCAGTGCTAGGAGTCCACTATCATCCATCCTAAAGTGAACTTTAATGCCACTTGGACTGCCCTCAGGATTATCGGATAATGCCTTTTCTATTTCACCCAAATGAACTTCAGTGATATTATGATGGCCAACAGACCTAGTAGGAGAAGAAATATCTCATACATGGTAAAGATTACACAAAATAGTAAAATTTAAAAAAATGGACACCAGGACATGTGACTCAGGGAAAACTCTATTTCGGATACAAATACATGATCTTATGTTACATAAAGTTTTGAGCCCATTCTGATTAAAATTGGATTTTTTTTACAAATTTTTAAGCTGCTCCAAAATCTGGTAAAAGCTTCTTGTCAGTGGGCAAAGACCCTCTACTCCTTTCTTGAGCCAAATTTTGCCAAAAATGACTAGGAGAGAATTTTCCGTTTTTATAGTTTTTTCTGATGTATATACATGTTCTTATGTTGTGTAGCAAGTTTGAGCTGATTCCGATTGAAATTGGATTTTTTTAATGAATTTTTAAAGTTGCTCCAAAATTGGGTAAAAGTCCCTGTACTATAGTACAGGGTATTTGGCCAAATTTCGCCAAAAATGACAAGGAGAGAATTTTCCATTTTTATAATCTTTTCTGATACATATACATGTTCTTATGTTGTGTAGCAAGTTTGAGCTGATTCTGATTGAAATTAGATTTTTTATGAATTTTTAAAGTTGCTCCAAAATCGGATAAAAGTCCCTGTACTATAGTACAGGGTATTTGGCCAAATTTCGCCAAAAATGACTAGGAGAGAATTTTCCATTTTTATAATTCTTTCCAATGCATATACATGTTCTTATGTTGTGTAGCAAGTTTGAGCTGATTCCGATTGAAATTGGATTTTTATTAATTTTTTAAAGTCACAAAAATCTGGTCAAGGACCATATACATGTAGTACAGGATTGGTCCATAGCTCAAGAATTTTGTAACAATTTTGCATAGCATAAAAAGTATGGACTAAAACTTGAATATTTCTTTTAAACACAGGTACTTTATTTAGAATCCAGGTAATTATAGGTGAGGTACATGCACTTTAACTTATAACAACGATAATTACTATCTCAAAACCCACTCTCTTTCCTGCTGGCTAAGAAAATCAACGTCTCCATAAAAAACATCAAACTTGAAATCGCTAGAGTACCGATTGAACGTCAGGACCTTCTTCTGCGGATATTGATTACCAGAACTGAATAAAGTACGAGTGACACTCTTTGTGTATGGCTTCCCTTCAGCGTCAGTATTCTGCTTATCAAATGAAACCTGAGAGAGAGGAGTAAGAGGTAGAGGAAAGAGATTGTGCCTTTTTTCAAGGGCTATATATTTTGCAGATTGTGTTACTATTCCCAAAAATAAATTCCTCGAATTAGTTGCTTATAGATGTGAGAAATTCGAATTTGGGATAAAATCACAAAAAATTAATACAGTGAATTATATATCCGCTAAATCTATAGCCCTTGAAACCTAAGGTAGAGGAGTAGGAGGTAGAGGAAAGAGATTGCATGGATACAACAATAGGAGGGAGTCATGTTACTCTAGTGGTTGGTTACCTGTATAGGGTACACATTAGCATCTTTAACTATGAACTTCTTCACTCGAAACAACTTAGTGTGTGAAGCTCCTTGGTACACAGCACCTGTAATAGTCAATCAAATTATTTTTAAAAATCATTTTAATACAACTTAATTAATCAATTACCTAGAGCAGCTGCCTCATCAGTATTGATATTTCTACCCAACTCAGTCCTACAATGAAATACTCCAGGGTCAACAATGAGTATCATAATGTAAATAAACATACTTTTTGACAGCCTTCAGTAGTAACTCCTGTACTTTGGGTACTCTAGTACCACCTCCAACTAGTACCACAGACTCTATCTCACCCTAAACATGTGAGAGTCATGTGACATCATAACAAAAGAACAATGTACCAGTGTTATATCAGCAACTCTTAGAGCTTGCTCAACAGGCCCAGCTAACCGATCAAACAAGTCAGAGCACATTTCCTCAAATTCGACGCGTGTCACTTTTGCCTTAAAGTCAATGTCCTCAAACAATCCTTCAACCTAAGGAGAAGAAGACTCTTATGTTTGCGACTTGAGTGCCACGTACTTGTGAGTATATTTCTGTGTTGGCACTTAAAACTTTTTTGACTCTTTTTGCTTCTTTAAGTAGCTTAGCCATAGCACGAGGAGACTCTGTAATCTTACCTTCAGTTTTATGCTGGGACTACAAGAGAGAGAGAGAGAGAGAGAGAGAGAGAGAGAGAGAGAGAGAGAGAGAGAGAGAGAGAGAGAGAGAGGGAGATAGAAGAGGAAACAAAAAGAGAAGACAATTAGAGAGACACTCAAAATAGTTTGAAAGAGGTGCTAATTAAGAGTACAGTAGTTCTCTTCCTACCATGAATATTTGTGCCAGGTGGTCGCGGAGTCTCATCTCCATCTCTAGTCCGCCTAACGTCCTATCGAACCCGACACCTTTGACACGAACCTGAGGATGAATGTGAGCCTGAGAACCTTCTCTGACCTGAGTCTTTTTAAACTCTACATTAGTAAGAGAGTAAAGAATGAGAGATACAAATAGAGAAGAGATAGAGAGAGGCAACACTAACCTGCTATGGTCGCAATAGTGTTGGTAGATCCCATATCAAAAAACATTATGTAAAATGGAGTCGTATTGAAAGACGCTTGTCTATAGAGACCGTAGTTAAGAGCCACTGAAAATAAAATAAAATCAAACCAACAAGATTTTTCAAACAATACTGACCAGCTGCTCCATCAGTCATTAATTGAAGGACATTAAGGCCGACCAGCTGAGCAGCACTGGGAAAGAAAGGAGAGTGTAAAAATTTCCATGCAAAAAGTGAACAAGCCTCCCTCCATTGTGTGGCATGTTATTGTTGGCATACACAATGAATGATAATAGCATAAACTTGCTGACCTTATTACAGCTCTCCTCTGTGCTTGATTAAAGAAAGCTGGAATAGTAATGATAACATCTCTTATATTGGTTCCTAGAAAAAGGACAAAAGAGTTATTAAAACCATTACATGTACATGTACGTAAGTATTACCAGCATAGTCTTGTGCCAATTCCCTTGAATGATTGAACAACATCCCAAGCAATTCTTCAGGAGTAAAATCAGTGTTCCTATAATAATTCATCGATAACAATAGTTACTTGATAATCACTAGAGCTTACTCATCATGACGAAATAGAATAGTACCTAAATAAAATAATAAATTAATACTAAGACTCCTCCTCCTCTAACCTCTCTCTTCATCTTTTCTAATATCGTGATAAGGAAACCATTCCTTGTACTTGGCAACCAGTGGATTGTCATACGATAGACCGATCAATAATTGTAGATACGAATAAGCACTTTTTGGATATTTAACAGCCTGTGGAGTGAAGATAATAGGTGATGAATTATAGCTAACAACGAATAGGAACATACAGCAGTTGAAGCGTGATCTGAGAATAGTCTCTCTTCGTTTCTAAAAGCCACAATAGCTGCTGTCTTCCTCTTTGACTCTCTTTATATTTTATGTAATACAATTGTTATTAAATAAATCTTAACTTACTTATTCAATACAATTTCCATTGGTACACCAGGCTAAAATAAAGTAATGAGTTAAATATTATACATACACATACAAACAAGTCACATAATACATACCTTAACTAAAGCTACTTTAAACCATTCACTACTAAAATCAATGGATATGACAGCTGCCTGGACCATTCTTCCTTCCTCTCCACTAAAAACCATCAGTAAACCCAGAAAAAGTAACAATCTGGGTAACATCTTGCTCTCCTTCTGAGATTCTCTTTCTTCTTTTCACAATTTACACCAAACTGAACTCAGTGGTTTTCAATATTCGCCCCAACCATGTGTTTTGTCATACACTGATTGGTCGAAGTCAGTCGGTATAATTCTTGCGGGTTAACGGCCAAATTTTGAAGATGACTCAGCCCGTCTAAATTTTTACGGGTCATCAGCACTAATTATTATCTTAGTGCATGCACTCCCACGTTGCATGGCAACATAAACAAGTTGGTGCTAAAAGGTCTGCAGCATTTCGCACCAAAGGCTTTTATGGCAATGGTAGAAGATTCGGAGAAGAAGACTAAACCAATCATGATTGCAGCTCGGGAAAGAGGTAAAAATACTTAAATGCATCCTGCAGCACAGTTTTGTCAAACAATTGCCACAGTAGAACTTTCAGCCTTATGCTATTTACATAATGCTTTACTTCATTGCTGTCATCATTGATAGGACCTGGGCCAGGCAGGTATAAATTACCTCCATGTTGTGGTCACGAGACACATGATATGACTAAACAAGCCATGCCTGCATATTCATTCGGAAAAAGGCTTAGCAACTCAAGTTTGTTGTGCATGAGATTTATAATGCATTTGTATGGTTGTAACTATACTTCATTTGTAATTATAGTGTTTAGAAAAGAAACCAGCCCTGGACCAATCTATTTTATTGACCCAATGCTCTCTCGCTATGGTCGTGATGGTAATCCTTCTTATTCTATCTTAGGGAGACAAAAGGATCTGAGTTAAGTCAATAATGCATGACATGTTTTCATTTGTATTTCAGATGCATTCAAGACTCCTTCTCCTGGTGCATACTCTCCTGAAAAAGTACACCCACAAGGGGAAAAACATGCCCCCATTTATTCAATGGGAAGGCGAACAGCATATAGGAAGAGTAAGATGCACTTTTAAAGCAATGCTCAATGTCTTTTTTTAAACCAGGGGATAGCACTCCATCACCCAGTTCTTACACTCTTCCATGTCTTTTGGGCCACAAGATACCAAACAAGCCGGCCAGTGCATCTTATTCAATGGCGTCTCGTCCCATTACTGGAAGTTTCTCAGAAGATCTGGCAAAGACACCAGGGCCTGGTTGCTACAATGCCATACCACCAAACATATATACACCTAGGGCTCCTGGATATTCAATGCTTGGAAGGAGCTACATGCCAGGAGGTAATTGAATACTACCAAACAGCAGCATATACACTTGTACTGCTAATTGTGTCTATGATAATCTTCAAATGTCTTTAGATGCCACAATGAAGCCTGGTCCAGGCGCTTATAGCCCTGAAAGAGTTTACCTGAACAAGACCCAAGCACCAAGGTTCTCTATGGGAATCAGGCACTCAGAGTTCATTACTCCGCTCATATTGGAGGTCCGTTGATAATAAAGAAGGATAAAACAAACCATTAACTATAATGATTTGTCTCTAATGCTAATACCATAGAAGCTGTATTGCTGTAGTCTAACTCTATAATAGTACATAATTTTATTTTAACTATGATACTTGATAATTACATAAAAATAAAGATTATCATAATATGCACATAATAATTATTCTATGATTCTGGATAAGGACGTTTACGTTTACTGACATAGGGTTGTACAACAAGAGGAATAGTCTGTTCTTTAGTCTGTTGAGATGATTGATAAAGCTTGCTTTCAAATTCCATTCTTTCGAATAAAAAGAAATCAACTTCTTGACAATAAAACTAAAATACATACTTTGTATGAGAACGAGGTCCCGCATTCCACACTCCGCCATAAGATGGAAGCCTATACTAAGATAAAATTAAAGACACAATAAAAACTAAAAATTACCATTTGGGATTATCTGCATCAAGTTGACCTGATTTTCTGAGATTGCTATGAAAGTTGGCACCAATGCGTTTAGGATTTCTTTTCCCTTTACCATGTTGATCTCCTACAAAATTATCACAAAAAACGTCATCTCTTTCTCTCTCTTTTGTAAAAGATCGTTATACTTACTCCAATGTAAGAAATCATCTTCTGATGGACCGATTGGATGCTTATAACAAATACCGCCATGATGATTATCTTTCTCTTCTTCTTCATCTTCATCATCATTTAGTAACCAAGGTGGTGTAGCTCCAGTGTGAATATTGCCTCTTTTTGAAGCTGTTACTCTGCGGTTAATCAAAGTAAATGAACAGCACTAAAAAAAACTTACTGAATTTTATCCGACACAGAAGCACAAGCAGATGATGCAAAGTGCTAAAATAAAAATCATATTATATTAATGGTGCATGCATTATCTCTCATGAAACAAACCTTTTGAACTCTTGTTTCTGCTACAACTTTTTGCTGTGCTTCTTCTACCTCTTCTATTTCCTTAGCAGACTATAAAAGAGTCCTTCAATAAAAGACAGTAGAATACATAACTAAACCTCTTTGAGTCTCTTGTTCCTGTTAGCATTAAGTTTGTCTAATTTTTCAGCAACAAGTTCCTTAAATCTAAAAATAACTACTCGCATGTACATCAGTAAATAGTACGCATTACTTATCCAGCTCTGCCTGGTAGATAATTAAGTTTTGCATCTGTGACTTTTTGATACCATTTTCCCAGCAGTAATATCTGGTTTTCTTATGATGACTCTCACTATTATATGTTAAGGAATTATTCTACTAATTTTCAATGAGGATACTTTGCATATTGACCGCTTAGAACAACAAATCCCTATTGCTATAAAGTATTGTGTTGCATTACCTAGTCATGTGTTCTAGCAATCCGCCCCATTCTACAGTTGTAAAACCATCAGATATGTGCTTATTAATCTCTTCTTGGCAGGAGTAACACCACACTGTAATGCCAGGCTCAAGATCCCCATCAACAATATTAGGCTTTTGCAATAGACACCTAGCACTATGTACCTGGAATTAAAGGGACACGTTCACGGAAATAGAATGCACACGTTACTGTAGAGGAAGTAAACCTTAAATTGGGCGTGCAACCCAATATCCGTGTATAATATCTATGGTGCAACAGATCATTAATTAATAGTTATGACATGTGTTTAGACACGCGTAGAGAGTAGAGACAGCAATCAGTCGCAGAACCAGGAGTAGGCATCTGTAGAACACTTCTTTCGAACAGAATTAGCTCTTTTGCCACCCTAAGATACTCTTTTTAGTGAAGAAACACCAGGAATATTTACAAGTAGCCACTCGAGTAGCCATTTTGCCTTAATTATTAGGAGCGCAGCCACTAAACGTCATCATTAATGATGTCATCTTGAAATTGAAAAACGGGCCAGTTTTTCAAGATGACCTGCTTCCGTGCATGTGTCCTGGCCCTTTAAATGTGCTAATTATAAATCATTGATGATACATTACTTTTTTATTAAACTTGTCAAGAATGAGCTTCAATTCGGTTTGATGCTTCTTGGAAAATATGTGTCCTTCCCTTCTGTCATTATGGTTCTTTCTACAAACAGAGCAAAAGGTGTAGTCGTCCTTTGTTTTGGATTTTTCTTTTTTCTTGTTCTTGGAGGCCATTTTATTATAGCCCCGCCTATAATTATTATAACTAATAGCCCCATCCATCACGTGTTGAACACGTGAGAGCCATAACGCCAAGAGTCACGTGACACTTTGCAATCACGTGACTTAGCCCCGCCATAAGAGGAGCCGCCATTGCGCTGCTGCTTCTTCTTGTCAATCTTGTGACCTATCTCGTGACATTTGACTGACCAAAGAGAAAGAGGAGCGGTTCCAGGACTATGAGTCGTGGCGGCGATGGGAGTGACTTTTCTGATGAGAATGGAGGAAGAGGTGGCGAGTATCTTCAGAGAGGAGATGATCCAGAGGACCTGCACCAGTCTAAGAGGTTGAAATTAGGCGGCGGCGACTCGCCTACCCGTATACTCAGCCTACACACGGACTGGGTCCAGAGAGAGCCAGAAGATCGAGCAACGACTGCTTGTATGCAACAACTATAATAATTATTATTGTCAAAAGTATTTATGCATAATTAATTGTTTTTGATGCCTCTTAAAGGTGTGAATTGGGTGTATTTTATCATCTAAAAAAATTTTTTTTAGATGTAGGGGGTGATCCCGGTGATGGTCCTATTCCAGTTCCTCAGTCCGACTTTGAGATTGAGATCAACAGTACGGGCCAGGAAGGAAATGGAGGCTCGCCAACTCAAGAAAGTGGCATCACTTTAACATCTGCTTCAATCACGATAGAGCCAAGAGTAAGTAATAATAATAAAAATATAAATGATGATAAAAATAATGATCATGATGTACAATTGTGTGGAAGTGTAAAGGAATGTTTGCATTCTTTACACGTTTCGAAATTACGTTAAACTCTTTTCAATGGTGATGATAGCATAATGGCGCTAGTAACTTTCAACTTTAAAGGAGATAACGATCAGTAGAATCTTAATGAAATACCATCGTACATTGAAAGTATTTTTTTAACCTCTTATATCAGATATTGACAATTGATTCAAGACTACCATCGTCTGTTCCTGTTACTACAACAACGGCTTCATCGTCATCAGGAGCAGCTATACCTGTTCACAAGATGATTGCTCACCTCAGAGATGAGGAGGAGGAGGAAGAGGAAGATGAAGATGAGCCTTCGATGTCTAGCACAATGGTCACAAACCTCTCTACTGCCGAACCCGTTGTACAAGCTCCTCTTGTGGAAGACATTCCAGTTTCAATGGTGGCTTCTCAGACTCCTGATTTCTCTGCTCTAATGGCTGGTGCTAAAGGGATGTTACAGGTACGTGTATGTATAGGTACATAAACTAAAATGTAATATTCGTTAATGAAAATTTTAGGTACCTACTGATCAGCAATCACTGATACATCAACATCCTGACCTGTCTGGTGGGGGCCAGTATATGCAGGCACCTGGTGATGGAACTGGGACCGGAGGTATTAGATATAATAAGAATTAATCCTATTATTATAATGTCTTAAAGGTCCGTTGTATGTGATGATACCACCCACTACTAACAGTGCTGAGTTATTGCAGGTGATGCAGCAAGGACAGGTTCAAAGACCATTAATGCCTCGTCTCTCTACTGGTGCTCTAGCGTAAGTCGTTAAACAATGTTTGTAGTACTGTATCTACTGTACATAATAAATGTAATCGTTAAATCGTAATCAGCCCCAACCCTGGTACATAATAAATGTATCATGGTTTTTCCTATATGGATATAAATTATCACTTTGGGAGCTAGACTTAACAATTTGTCTCTTGTAGTTCTCCCATATCAGATGATGGTAGGAAACACAAAGAACTAATTCGTAAACAGACTCACAACGAAGGTTAGTCTCTCTCTCTATGTCTGATAAGATAACAATCCTTTCTTTCATCTTAGTTGAAAGAAGGAGAAGAGATCGTATCAATGAGCTGATCAAGATATTAGCTGAGGTTGTCCCAGGCTGTCAAAAGAAAGACTCATCTAATGGAAATATTGTTGGGGTAAGGAGGAGTAAAGGACATTATAGCATCATATTGAGTCTCCTCTTCTTTCCTTCCAGTATGTGTACAGCAAAGGTACTGTATTGGAGAAGACTGTAGAGTATGTGAGAGAACTCATTATGCAGAACGAGCAGCTGGTAGCAACAGCTAAACTAGCCGAGAAGTCCGCCAGTGCACTTCACATCCTACAGAACCAGATAACAGTTTTAGAGAAAGAGAATACATTCCTTCGTGCTCAGATGGTTCAGCTAGGGATTGATACTTCATCTACTGCACTCAGCGGTGCTCGCTCTCTTCTTTCTAATCCTTTAGCTCAGAGTCTTTTGAATACTCAAGTCACTCCCCCTCCTCCTCCTCCTACTACTAATACGTCACAACTGCTAGTGTCTTTAGCTCAGACCCTTACCAGTAACCCACTCCTGGCTTCTCTTTCTCAACTCAACAACAATCCCAGTAGTACTTCTGCTGTTAGTCCAGTGGTCGCTAATGAAAGCCCAGTATGTTTCTCTTAGTAGATGATTTATTTAATCATTCGTATCTGATATAGGTTACTGCCTCTGGTCAGTCTTCTCAGCTTGTGCCTCCAAACAGTCAAGCGGCTATTCTTATGAACTCTCTTGTCCAAACACTTGCTACCATCGCCAATAGCAACACTCCAGCCCCACCCCCTCCTCCTCAGGTATTAACATGTCATACTCTTTAAAAATTCTTACACTTTCTTTAGTCATCAGGTTTATCTGCATCTGCAGCAATGTCTCTCCTTAATTCTCTCATGATGGCTCAGAACGCTCTCTCTGCTACAACAACTCACACAACACAGGCCATACCACTCTCCTCTCATCCTTCTGCTTCTCCTACTCCTGCCAGTCTATTAGTCTCTCCACACGCTCAAGATAACAATAAGATCACACCACCAATGTGATATACCATATACTGTCAAGAAAATCACATAATTATATGCTCTCTTGTCTTTTGCACTTGTACATATCTTGCTATAATAATATATTATGATGTTTGTTTGTGACATTTTAGGAATATTGCTATTATAGTTTTTAAATATAATACATACTGTATATTTTTGTTGGCTCAGCAGTACCTTTTCAATCATTTTAGAGGTTGTGTTTCAAATAATGCTAAACGCTGCCACATTTTTACTTACTTAGATATATATAAGAAACAAAAACAAGAAACATGATAACAATAGGAGTTTTGATTTTTTTTTTCAGTACTTTCTAATTTCCTTGCCATAAAGACAGATAACGTTGCTTGACAGCATGTGCAGCTAGTTTAGGCTGTCTCTCACGAGTGAGGAGTCCTTTACGATTACCATCAACTCTACCAGCAGCTGCATGAAAGAATATAAACAGAATTAGTACTTCAAAAAAATTCCACCTTACCCTGAGCTGTTTGAAAATCGGCAAAGTTCCATATCAATTCTCCGATGAAGAAAGTTTTTCGGAACTCGTCAAAAACCGGCCAGTAATCCATTATTGCACTCAACTAATATAATAGGAAGAGAATATTCTTCATTTAAAAATAAGCAGTTGGTGATAGTTATACCTGAAACTCTTCAGTCCACATGACTGGAGGGTCCTTGTGGAATCCAGCGATTGCTCCAGCTCCATACTCCGATATCATGATTGGCTTCTTATGCACTTCTCTCCATTGTTGTAACTCATAGCGCATTGGATCAGCAGCTGTGTCAGCTCTTCCATTATTATCATACCAATTAAAATATCTGTTCAACATTATGACATCCATGAACTGGTTCTGCAGGGAGTTGAAAAATAGAGACAAACTAGCTCATGAAGGCAATCGTTATTATGAAAAGACTATTTCGTGCAACACATTATAAATGTTATGTGACTCACAGCTTTATCAGAATAGTAAGCTTGATTGCAGGCAAAAGTGATTGGTCTTGATGGATCCAGGTCACGTGTGGTAAAGGCTACAGTTCTACAGAACACAAAAATTTTGACAACCTCATACCCTCAATAGAATAGGGTATAAAATAACAGTGCAAAAACAGCTGAGCATCAACATTCCTATTTTTATGCCTTTAGTAAGATGTACACTTCGATTTTGTTAATAAATTGCATAAGCACATATGGTCAATGTTTGAATTGAATTTTAAATAATTATGAGGACCTCATTATACACCGCCTGCAATAAGAATATCTAAAATTATCGTCTACAATCGTACTTGAAATAATTCTCAGCAACCGGAAGGTCAGAATGAGGCTCATTGGCTATTGACCACATCACAACTGATGGATGGTTCTTATCTCTAGTAATCATTTCTCTCATTACCTCAAGATGATGGTGTAGAGTCACATTAGCAAAATTATCTTCTCTATTATAATGATAAAAGGTTGATAAAATTTGTGCTTTTCCTCCTTACAATTGTAATCCAACTGCAGGGCTTTCTCCAATGACTACAATCCCTTCCTTGTCACAGAGGTCAAGCATTTCTTCAGCATAAGGATAATGACTGGTCCTGAAAGCAGCCACATTCATCCACTTAAGTAAATTAATGTCCTTCATGAGAAGAGCATCGTTTATGCCTTTACCAAGTATCTATGTATTCAAAACAACACTTTATATCATTTGCTTTCAATTTGTCTTACATCCCAGTCTTCATGCTTGCTGACACCATGAAAGTAAAAGGGTTTGCCATTAATGAGAAACTGATCCTCTGTCACTTTAACCTCTCTCAGACCAACAGATTGTCTATAAACATCAGTAAGACCACCAGTAGTGATCTGTACCTGCAAATACACAGCATGTAGAAGACTATAATCAAATAACACAGTTTAATACTTGGAATGATTGCATAGCTCCAGGAGTAGAGCTAAGAGTCCAAGGCCACCATAGGGTAGGATCAGTAATCTTAAGAGTACCTTTAGCAAGTCCATCAGTTACAGTTCCTACATATTATATTAATGGATGACAATAGCAGTATGATAGTACCTGAATCCTTCACTCCTGATAGACTGACTTCATAAGTTGCTTCATTATTTCCTTCTACTCCTCCTACCATTACTGTATATGCAACGCTAGCACTCCCATCTTCCTCCAGTTCAGTAACAACACTGATATCAGATATATATGCCTTGGGAGTGGTATAGAGTTTTACTGAACGATGAATACCAGCATAATTAAAGAAATCAAATTGCCCATCGTATGAGTAGTAAGGATAAGAATAACTATGACATGGCAACATTTTAAAAAGCAAAACAATAAATTGTTGTTTTACCGAGGGTTGTCATGAAATGTAATTGCAGCTGGGGGCAGAGTATGAGCATCAAGTGTATTGTTAACAGCAACAGTCACTCTGTTTGGTTGTCCTTTATCCAAGAGTCCAGCAATATCAGCTTCAAATGGTAAGTGACCTCCATCATGTGTCATCACTTCATTACCATTGACCCACTACAAGTTATAAACTAAGAGACAGATGACACATGTGCCCTTACCACTATCGTGTAGTAGTGAGCACCCCCGAATCGTAACACTACGCGGGTTTTCCCGTCTAACCAAGAATCGGGTACCCAAAAGTTCCTGTCATACCAAGCCCAACCAACGTAGTCTCTTATGCTAGGATCTTGAGTAATGTCATTGAAACTGGCAGGGACTGGCATTAAAATAGTCTTTCCTGTCTGATTATATTAAGTTTGACAATTTTATGTGTATCATTTTGAAACTTACTGATTGCAAAGCCTGGGAATACCACTTCTCTTTAAATCCTTCATCCCTCAGTTCTGACCTGTCTATTCTAAAGTGCCATATCCCATCCAGGTCTTTAACAAGTCTGGAAGAGGAGTCCTTTGGATAAAGGAGGCCTTCACAGTAGTTGTTAACAAGTATTAACAAAGTGACAACAAGAAGAAGCGAGGGAGCATTCGCCATTCTACGAGCCATTCTAAGTAGTAGTAAAGTAACTTCACTAAAGTATTGTAATTGTGGTTGCCTGTAACAACTTCCCGTTTCTTTGCCGCACCTATTTACTTACGCCCACACTATCAAGCGAGTAGGTAAGAAATGAAGCCACTTCTTGTTCTTTTTCTATGTCTTCTGAAAGGAAGTGAGTCCATGACTCTGTAATTTTTACTCCTCTGGCCTATGCATATGCTATGTAAAGTTTTTTAAAAGCTTAAAATTGCAAAGAATGATTCTGACTTTGCAATTTGTAATATCTATTGAGTTGGAAGACAGTTTCTGACTTGAAATGAAAATGAATAGATTTATGCCCTATATTTTGCCTGTATATTAATCTGGTCTTTTAAATCTAATTTCAGTTAATGCTGAACTTGAAGTTAGTATTCATCGTATTCCCGATCAACCGATCCAGTTATACTCTGGGGGCAGTGTAGTGCTAACTTGCACTGTCACAACAAGTTCTCCAAACATCACTGTAACTGTGGAATGGTTCAAGAGTTTGCAGTCACTACAACACGTCACTAACAGTATACACTTATCTCCTCCTTATCGACTACAAGAACATATATGGCAGTCAAGTATTGATCTTAGAGTACTCACTGTCCAATTTTCCGGTTGGTATTACTGCCTTGCGACAACTGTTGATGGTAGTTCCACTCAAGCTGCATATTATCAAATAAATGTGGAGGAATCTGGTAATGAAATTTCTGATATCACTTTGCATGATACATATTCTATAGGTAACAAAGCAACTGTTGAGTTATCAGTTTCACCAACTTCACTATATGCTCAAGTACCTTTTACTGTTACTTCAATCCTGCATTTACCAGCAGTCATATCTCCACAAGTGAGAGTGGAATGGTACAGGAATGGAATGAAGAAGAACAATGATGATGTTAGAACTTTCTTTGTTAATGCTACAACAGTAAACAGTGTTCTACAAGTCACAGAGCCTTTTCCAGCATCTGGGATTGCATACACTTGTGTATTCAATGCTGAAATGTATGGAACTAGCATATTCAGTTTGAATGGGTCAACCACTGGATTGAGCATTGAAAGTGAGTTCCATCAATTTTTCAAAAGTAATTTATAATTATTATTATTGCTGTAGGTAAACCCACTCCTCAAGTAACAATACTCTCCAATGAGCCAAGCACTCCTTCTTCATCTTATAGTGTGACATGCTTGGCTCTCGTGTTAGTCAATGGGACACTGAAGCTAACATGGAAAAAGGATGGACTATTAGTGAAATCAGTTGATAATGTACAGTTAGGGCAGCCCATGAAGACACATAATAGTACAAGCTTGAGGATAAGATTTGTCAATGGGATCAGCCAAGAAGATGAAGGAAGATACATTTGCTCTGCTTCACTAGAAATGAAAGAATACGATACCATTTTAACAAAAACTGCTTCTATTAATATTTTAACACCAAGTAAGTAGGGAAATATTTCTAGAGTATTATTTTTTTAATAAATTTTATAGCACGCATTCTTAGCATACAGACAAGAAGTATACCGTCCAATACTAAATGGATCGCTGGGAGTGATGCCTCATTACTGTGCACAGTACAGACTAATAGAAAAGCTAATGTTAGCATATCATGGGAGACTAACACTGGGTCAATCAGTACTAACCATCGCTACTATACTAATGCTCTTACTAACACACTTTATGAAAGTGTACTGGAGCTACAATCAGTTCTTCACTCAGAGTTGTATTACTGCATTGTTTCAATTAATGGATCCCCAATGAGTGAGGAATGGTACTATCTCAATGTATTGAGCAGCAGCAGTAAGTACTTTTTTATTAATGATAATCTTCACATGTCATTTTTAGATTTTTCTACCATCTCTGTGACACTACCTTCATCATCAGCAGCCCCTGCCATAGGTGACCAGTATAACCTCACTTGCACTAGTACTAGACCTAATGAGCAAGTCATGCCACTGGCAGTACACTGGACAAGAGATAATGTCATACTTCATTCTCACTACATTTCATCTCTTTTATCTAATACTACTCACGTCACGTCAGTCCTCTCTTTTGAGTCACTTCAGATCACTGATGGAGGGACATACTTGTGTACAGTAACGTTTGATAGGTTCTTTGGAGCAACACAGAGTACACAAGGATCAGCTTCTGTCAAATTAAAACTTAAAGGTAATGCTTATTTTATTTAGCTATGGGTTTCCAACAAAGCATGCTGAATGAGCAAATTTAAAAATTCATTAAAAATCTAATTTTAATTAGAATCACCTCAAACTTGCTACACAACATAAAAACATGTATGTGCATCAGAAAAAATTATTAAAATGCAAATTTTTTAAAAGTAATTTTTGGCAAAATTTGGCCAAGGACACTGTATTACAATAACACAGGGACTTTCGCCCAGTTTTTGAGTAACTTCAAAAATTCATTAAAAATTTAATTTTAATCAGAATCAGCTCAAACTTGCTGCACAACATAAAAACATGTATACATATCAGAAAAAAATTATAAAAATGGAGAATTCTCTCTTAGTCATTTTTGGCAAAAATTGGCCAAGGATACTGTACTATGGTACAGTAACTTTAGCCTGATTTTTGAGTAACTTCAAAAATTCATAAAAAATTTAAGTTTAATCAAAATTAGCTCAAACTTGCTACACAACATAGATACATGTATATATATCAGAAAAAATTATTAAAATGGAGAATTCTTTCCTAGTTATTTTTGGCAAAATTTCTCTGTACTATAGTTGGCTCAATTTTTGCATAACTTTTTAAAAATTTTATTCTTGCCATGTTTGATGAAATTTAACAAAATACCAGTATGGAATATTTGTCAAATTTTAAAGCAAATTTAAAAATCCACTGACGAGAATCTGAGCACTATAATATATGCCAAACCCTGGGATAACTGTTCATTAATCATTAATAGTGTGATTATGTGTACAATGCTTTGTATAGTCTCAATATTTTATAAGCAATATAACTACATTTGGATGTTTAGGCACAGATAACTTGTAACTATAACTGTCATTTTTAATCTAATTCCATAGCACCTCGTCCAATAGTGACAGCAGTAGCATCATTTGACAACAAGAGAATGACTTGTCTCATTGAGTTTGAGAAACCACATGAGGACATAAGCATTAGGATTGACTGGCTGATAGTACACAATGAGAGACTGTACATTGTTACTAGAGGAGAGGCTTTCGAAGGGATCATATCTGACATGGACACTACCGAGTGTGGCAGAGTGTACTCTCAATATATTGAGACTGAGACTCTGTCAACATACTCCAGTGTAGTGTGTCAAGTGATGGTCAATGGATCAGGGATTATCAGTAGTGTATCTAGAGCTAGACCTGATGACACCAATATAGGTAGTGAATCCTGTTTCATTATTACAAATAATATTATTTTTGAATTATTCATTAATCTAGATTCGTTGCTACCAGTAGAACCACAAAATGTTCATTTAAAAAGCGTTGGTAGTCATTGGATTCAAATTGACTGGGAAGGTCATACTCACTATAGTTCAACTAGTTTTGTTATAGAATATAGTGAAGTGGGGAGTGGCGTGAGTTATTCCATTAGTGTCAATGAATCCAGTGACAATAGACTCTACACTGCATTGCTAACTGATCTACTACCAGCAACACAGTACACTATACAAGTTATAGCTAATAGTATTGTCGGGACCAATAAAAGTGATGTATTAGATTTCACCACCAATGAAGCAGGTATGTGTACATGTCTATGATTATAATAATTTTGTGTACATATTATACATGTAGCTCCATCTGGACCTCCACTCAATTTCTCATTTCATTGGCTGACAAAAAAGTTGTGCATATTTGCTTGGTCATCACCAGATCCTGTGAAAGCAAATGGTCTTATCATTGGCTATAGATTTCAATGTTTCAATAATACTGGTCTCTTCCATGATCTTACCACTAATGCAACGAGTGTCTCAGTGAATGAGCTGTCATTGAATAGTAGCTATACTTGTAGTTTAGCTGCTTTCAATGGAGCTGGAGCTGGACCTAGTACTATGATTGTATTTTATACTGATGAGATCGGAGGAGAAGGAGGAGGGGGAGGAGGAGGAACAAGTGTTGCTGAAGGCACAAGCCAATTGTTTAGCCTGACCCTATACACAATTGCTCCAATCTCTGTGCTATTGATAATGAGTATTGTAATCATTTCTGTATTGGCAATGACTGTCTGTTATTATAAACAAAAATATAAGAAGAGGTAAGTTAACATACAATCACTATGCCCACTACTATCAACACTACCTGTTGTCTACTAATTGTTGGGGAATCACCAGGGCAAGCCCCATACTAACCATATACTGCTTATGTCAACATGACAAACTACTTTTACAATAATGTTTCTTTTCTCTCTTATACACACACATACTCATAACGCATAGAATGTCCTTTGTAATGCCCAGTGATGATCACTCTTCTACTACATCATTCCAAACAACCACAAGGCCTACTCTCCCTGCTCCACTGGGAGCACCTGCACCTAATGAACAATCTACCCGCCAACAGCAACGCTATGTGTCTAGTGATACAATACAACAGTTATGTCACGGAAGACAAGAGGGACGGCAAGATTGTACGTATTTGTCCTCTCCTACCGATATCCCTAGTCCCTTTGAATTAACTAGAATCGAATCTACTGTTTAGATTGATTAGTTTTTCCTAATAATAGATTTATACAATTAACCACAATATTAAAATTATTATTGTAGAATGTTATTTTAAGTGTTGCTGAGTCAGTGCATAATGACTAAGCAGGAAAACCCCCTTTACTTTCTATATAATCCAGTGTATCTAAGGACACTGTTACTTCAGAGAACAGCACAGAAAAAAGAAGATGGGAGAGAAATTATTACTGAAGTTTAAAGGTCTGACTGGTTTCACTGAAACCATTGAGATATCAAAGGTAATTAATTAAAGCAACAGTCCCTATTATCCATTTATAATGGTAATGCTTTTCATTAGAATGCAACAATACTGGATGCTAAGAGGTTACTACACACTAAAAGAGCTGATTTCCCGCCACACAGACAAAAGTTATTCATTGACTTCAGGGGAGGCTCAGGGACTCCTTTGAAAGATGAGAAGACATTGTCCAGTTATCCTACTATCAAATCCGGCTCTACTATTGTCATTGTTATTGATCTTCCCTGGAAGCTTTACGTACAAGATCCTCATGGAAAAATCTATGACATAGAAATACCATCAAGTGAACCACTGGTATGTAGCCTAAACTCTACCGTGTATTATTATTACTTAACTCTTATTGTCATAGTCTTACAGTATTACTGATCTTAAGGCTCTTGCTGAACAGCACATGAAGCAGTCATTGGTGGATTATCAGTTTCAATTTAAAGAGAAACCAGTTGAAGAGTGTCTTCACGGTAAACGAAGGACTCTTAAGGATTGTGGAATTAACAAGGAAGACACTGTCTTTATCATGAAGATTGGAATTGTTGTCAACATAACAGCACCACAAGTAAATATACAATTTTATTTATGTATTTAATTTTATGTTAATTGCTGTAGATTGATATATGTTTTATGATGGATTGTACTGGATCGATGAGAAGTTGGATTGAAAGTGTTAAGGCTAATGTAAAGAATGTTAGGGATGGGTTAGAGCAACACTATAAAGGATGTGACATAAGATTCTCATTTGTCCGATACACTGACTATGATCAACCTTCGTCAACCAGAACAACTTGGGTTGACTTTACACAGTTAGCTTAGCTAGCAATCATAATGTGCATACTTTGTTGATTGCTGTCTTCATTACTAGGTCTCTTTCTCAGTTCCATACTTTTGTGGATCCTATTAAAGCAAGTGGAGGAAAGGATACACCAGAAGATATAATGGGAGCTCTCAAAGTTACACTTTCTAATCTTAGCTGGCGTCCATCAGCTACTAAAGTATTTTGTAAACTGATCTGTCTTTTAATGTTTTATATACGATAGGTTCTAATGCATATTGCTGATGCTCCTTGTCATGGTACCCAGTATCATAGTGGAGATGATGATTATCCCAATGGTGATCCTGCTGGCATTACTCATGAATCTATGATGGCTAAGGTTGTTCATCATGATATTCAATATTGGTTCGCTTACATCAATCGCAGTAATACTGATAAAATGATTGATATATTCAATGAATCTCTTAAAAGTCAGAGCAGTCAACGTCTCATTATTCGTCAAGTTGATGCTACAAAGCCAGATGAGCTTACCAGTGCCGTTCATAAATCTGTCACTGCCAGTGTATTTGCAAATGAGGCACGAAAGAAAATTGGTGGCACTTTAGATCCAACAGAGCCAAACTGGGCTTCACTGCTGCCTCAGTATGGTCAAAAGACACCACCTGTTGGACCAAAATCACTTTATAATTTACAAGAAGGTTTCAAACCAGAGGGCCCTTCAGTCTCGCTCTCTGTTAAAATAGCTGCCACACCTTTTGCTGAAGGGAGTGAGTCACTGGTCTATAGAGGATATGATACTAAAAACAGTCGACAAGTTGTACTCAAGAAACCAAAAGAAGACAGACCAAGTCTTGATTCTCTAATGAAGGTGCTGGAGACACAAACGATCGCAGCTACGTATGCAAGCGAGTTTAACACTCACAAGCAAAGACCAGCTCATCTGGAAACACTGGAATTCTTACCTGTT